AAATTGTGTGCGTAACGTATGTGTGTATGCAAAAATGGCGTGTGTGCGCGAGTATTATTGTGTACGATGTGCGTGCGTGCGTGGGGCCGACTGCGCCGAGTGAAAATGTATAAGCGAGAATAAAAACATGTACGATATTATACATATGCATAGCGTATATTATAAATAATGAAACAATGGATATAAATATATAAATATATATATAAATAAAAATACAAAAAAGTAAACAAATTATATAAATATGAAGGAAAAAATATATAAACGAGAACACAGAATAACAAAAGGAAAAAAAAACGTTAGACTTAAGGACATAAGATATTATGATGTATGGTTGGTTTATAATGTAAAAATATATTATAGAAAATGTACAAGACGTGTGTAAGACTTTTATTTACCCTCACGTATTATTACAGTCCTGTCACGATATCCTCCCAAAATACATAGCCACCACAGCCTCTATACGTTCTTTTTTCAGCAACAGCAGGATCATACGTCGTGTATCGTTTAATCCACGATTCCTCGTGGTTGATTTAGTTCGGGCTCGCGCGACACCTCTTTCTCGTTCGCGAGGCGTACAAAGCCGACCACCGCGCACGTATATGGATTCAAAAAGTTACACACACAGCAGCGCGTCGACATCCGCAGCTGCGGGTGTTTTATATGCGCGATACATAATGAATGTTACAGAATACGATTTTCCGCAGTTGCTCGTGCAAGCTCTCCGAAAGCTCGGACGTGGTCTGAAAAGAAGAGAAAATTACCACTCACACATGGCTTCGTGTATATTTTTAGTACCGTTCGAAACTGAACTCGAAAATTTCATCTCAGTTATATAGCACCAAATATATGCTTCGATTTTCACGGGTTCATAATATGAATGAGGACGATGGTCGATGATGTCTATACGCATAAATCTGTGACTCGAATAACGATATCGCGATAGCACAAAAAAATTACATCACTTCGTGTGTCGTTCGTTATGTAACACTGATTGGATTAGTCTCCAGTTCGGAGAGGCAAATTGGATCGAACGCGGCCGAAAACGCGGGTGCCAAGTGAAAGGCGAAAGTATAAGCGTCTCGAGGCATATAATGCACGCGAAGACGAGCTTGCGGGGGTATTATTTTCAGGCTAGAAATCCGACGGCAATCGAGCAGCAAGATCGCGTGCGGCAACAACCAAACATGTTGCTCGGCGTGATACACCTGTATATGCATTACACGACGTGGGAGCTTGCGAGTTCGCATCAGCAATACGATTGGGTAAGTGCGAGAAAGAGCGAGAGAACGAATGACGCGAATTTCGATCGAGAGAGACAATGAAAATAGGAGAATATATGATGAAGGTAGAGCCGAAAATCGATGAAACTAATCGCGGAGATCGACTGATTCATTCGAGAGCTTTTTTACACAAAGAGACAAAGTTATTCGCGATGTGTTCGTACAGAACTAATATACAAATATTTCTCTATTAAACCCGTGTAATATGTGACTCGTTGTGCTTTCCCATAGATATTAATATATCGAAACACGACGCGCGCGGGGGAGACGAGTATACAGTGAGGTACAATATGACAAGGCGTGAATTTATCGACATTCGCACACGCTCGACGACGGACGGACGAAAAATCAAAGCGCGCAACTCTAGTAGTAGTACATATATACCGAGTTGCTACGTACGTACGTTTATATATCAGACGTTATAGTCGAAATTTGAAAGCAAAGCTCGGTATACTGCGAGCTTGCGGGTGGTGTAAATACGCGAGGGGAGGTGCAGGTGCAGGTGCTGCTGGTGCTAGTCATGGGCGCCCTGTCCGACGACGACGACGACGACAAGCTTAATACGCTCGACATCGCGCGCGCAGGTGCTATATAGCGCGCAGCTGTAGCAGCATTTAGCGAATAAGTCAGACAAGCTCGCATGCCTATATATGCCACGTATATAATACACGTGCGTGTGCGGCAGCACGAGTCTGTATGTGTATGCGCGTGTGGAAAAGGTATGTATAAATGTGCGAGGGGCTATCTACGTACACACGAGCGCGTGTGTGAGCGTACGAAAGGTAACGGGCGTACATATATATACGAGATAGAGCGAGAGGGAGAGAGAGAGAGAGAGAGAGAAGAGCTGCAGCTGGAAAGCCCTATTAGCCGGGACGCGCGGACGGCGGCGGCGGCGGCGAGACTTGCACGGTATGAAGCATAAACTACAATTAGCGGTAATCCGCGTGACACGGGGCATGGCACCCTTTGCGCATATTAGAGCATTAGCCCAAGAGCAGCAGCAGCAGCAGATAGCACCGAGCTTGTTCTCCCCGACGCGGCAGCAGCAGCAGCATATACAGAGCCGTGTGTCATTTCAGCAAGTCCACGCTTTTTCTCTCTCTCTCTCTCTCTACGTGTGTGTACGTGTGTGAGTGTGAGAGTGGATAGAGAAACGAGAGAAAGAGAAAGAGAGTATAATATAGGATTAAAAAGAGGAAGCCCGAAAAAGAGTGAGAGAGAGAGAGAGACCAATTAAACCTCGATAATTAAGCACGGATACGCCTGCGATGCCCGCGTGCTATAATGTAAATTGCAGAGCGAGAGAGAGAGAAACGATATAGGACTGGCTTTTATCTTTTCCTTTTTTTCCTTCTTTTTTTTTTTTTTTTAAATACTTGGCTTTTTCCGGCGAAAGAAAAAAAAGAGAGTCGCACTCGCTGTGTCCGTGTGTATATCTATCTCTCTCTCTCTCTCTCTCTCTCTCTCTCCATATATACGTTTTGTCGGTGATTCGGGGCTAGCTGTAATTAGGAACGAATACGATGAGTGAGCTTGCAGAGAGAGCGCTGCTTTCGTCCCTGAAATATGGAGCTCGGCAATTTATTGTATTAATACGTGCTTCGGCTGGACCTTCTTTCTCTCTCTCTCTTTTTTTTTTTTACTCTTTTTCTCTGTCTCTCTCTCTCCGAACTAATTCTGTTCCTCCCCAAAGCGCGGGGTGATTTAAACATTTTCAATAATTTTCAAACTAAAGCTTTTCGCACACACAGAGCGAGCGAAGCCGCAATGAAAACGACGTCGTCGTACTCGCGAGCCTATACATACATCTATACAGCCGCAGGTATACCGCACGAAAAGCGTGAAATTGCTTGTATTCTTTACAATGTTCTCTTTTCGAGTATAAGCACGTCGAGAGCTGTGCAGTATGGACAGGCACGATAGCCGGGCATGCAGCGGCCGCAAGCTGAGCCGAGAGTCGAAGGTGTGGCAAACACTATACCGTGAAAGGAGTCTCATTACTCAAGTCCGGCTTGTATTATAATCCCCCCTCATTTTGAAGCACTCATTTAATTATCTTAATTAGTTGGTTTCTCTTTCGCGTCTCAAGGATTAGACAATGGGCTTTCTCGATTACGCGTATATACGCTCGTATTATAATAAATTCTTATCTCGTCACGATGACAAAAAAATAAATAAATAAATAAAAATAAGCACCTGCACAAAGACACACGAGCTTTCAGCAGTCGAGCTTTTATGCATAAAGCTCGACTTATTGCTCTGTCCCTCTAGAAAGCAACTGCCCGAATATTATACACTGCAGCGATATGGAGCAGTTTTTCGCAAAACACATACAATGTGCACTTTTCGCCCCGTGTATAATTAACGCACTCGAGCTACATTCGAATGCAATAGGTAGACCGAGTGCACGTGCACACAAACGCACGCACATACACTTTACGTGCATTTGCGGAAAATCAACTCTCCAATGTGCGTAAGTATACAAGTGTGTATGTGTGCTTTTACAATTTCAGAGCGCACAAGGGATGAAAGAGAGAGAGAGAGAGGAAAAAATTTGATTACGCCCGATGAAAGGATCCTCAATCATTTATCGACGTTACAATGTCAATAATGGAAATGCGCATACACGCGAGCACGCTCGGCCCTCCACCCCCTCGCATTATTATAATTAACTCGGGAAATTTTCATCATTTTTATTATTCGTGCCCGCGCGCAGGACAACTGAAAGCTCGATGTTTGCGATCGCGCGCCCGCGCGTTTTCCCCCGTGCTAAAACCCCCTTTAAAAATGTCTTTTATTACGCGCGTGTATACAAGCATCGACATTGATTTCAATTTACGTCAAATTCGACGCGCATTACACGCAAAGAGAGAGAGGAACGCGGCAAAAATGCATCGCACCGCGTAATACAATACACATAATATATAAAATGAGTGGCTGGGCAAAATTTCATGTCAACAATGTGAACGAGTTACGTCGCATTATATCGTCGAGCGTGTACATATACAAACGAGCAAAACTGGGGGTGAAGGGAGGCTGCAAAAATATGTTACAAGCCGATGAATGCATCCGCTCGCTCGACTTTTGCTGCTTCGACTATGTAATATCCATTAATTTATGCTAAATAAATATTTGCTCCCCGAGGCGGGCGTATTGCACTTCGGAGCTCTCATATTGCCAATGAAACATATGTTGTGTGTGGCAGCTACAAATATGCAAAGCGCGACGTGTATGTGGCTTACACATTCGCGTACACTGGTATGTTTTGAATTGCATATATAGACTGGAATCTGACGTGAATTTAGTTTACGTATCGCGAGATAATATTGCGTATATCACGGCAACGAAAGAACAACATTTTTCGCGTTTCTTTAAAAAGTTATGATGAAAATGTTACTTACACAGATGTTTACTTCCTTGCTTCCAGTCGATAAAGTAGGTTTGTTGCATGTGTGATACCGATGTAAGCGGTTTTCGTACCCCCTGGGGGTAAACAGATGGTAAGTTGGTGGTTGACGTTCAAGAAGAATACACACTATGATAATAACGATGTACCTTTTTTGTTTACATTTTTTATGTTTTTTTTCACAAAATAATATTATGGGTAAAGACTTTGCTCAAATGATTAGTATTTAGGTAAGCAGAAGCCTCAGATGCTACCTATCTGAATCATTTCAGAATGAGGAAGATGTTAGGCGTACCGAGTAAGAGTGCGAATTTACAGTCTCATATATTTATTTATTTCAACCTTATAGGCACAAAAAAGGACTTTACATATTCTGTCACAATATTTACGTTTTCTCAATTGTTTACAATTTAACTTATACACTACTACCTCATACATTATTTCAATTTGTTTTCACAGATACAGTTACCTATTGACTTGAACATTATTCTAAATACACAAATACTACTTTTAACATTCACACTTATTTACAATTACAATACGTCGTTTGTCTGTCTTCTCTATACTCTGTCAACTTGGCCCTATCCTCTTTACTCCTTTTACTCTCACCATCGTGTCAATTCACTCGAAATATAACGCATAAATCGTAGTGTATAATACCCTAATTTGTATTTATTTACAATCAAACGTAATCGTAAGAAATCGATTGAGATCATTCATAGAAATATGACTGAACCTCATTGACAATTAAAAATTTTTAATTCATTATAAAAAATGTACGCGTACAAAAAATAGCTACTGAAATAGCTAAAAATGGATTTTACAGGTGTACTGTATTCTTCTTCGATTCTTTCATCGCCGCAATTCTTACGCGTACGCCTTAAATTTTACTAATTTTTCTCGTTAAAAAAGTCTATAGGGGCCGTATCTTGCCACGGCCCTACAGTGGTTCCTGAGACACTCGAAGATTTTACTCTCATCGGTAAAAAAAGACCGGTTCGTCCACAGTCGACGCTCGGCCCGCGGATCGTTTTCATAATCCCTCTCGATTTTCCAGGCTAATTTTCCCATGGCATCCACGTTCGTCTGCTGGAACAAGCGCAACAACCACTCTCTGGGCATGCTCTTGGCCACTTCGAGACACTGGACGTTCGTCATGTTCAAGTTGTAAGCCTCGGTCATGAACAGGTCACGTCCAATGTAGTCCAAATTCAACACCGGCCTCATCAGGTTGTTGGCGACGCGTCTCTTCACGATGCCGTTCACGAAGGCGGTATTGCAGCTCAACTCGGCCGTCTTTCCGACGATCGTCGCGCAGGGATCATCCTTTAGGTTTTTCAACAGCTCGGCGCTCTCGAGATGGTTAATTTCGCAGAGCCGAGCGAGCGAGACCTCCGTCTTCGTTTTCGTTTTCTCATCCGATTGGGTCAGGATGATTTGGTACAGCGGTTGAACTTCTTTTATCCAAGGGTCGATAACGAGCTCTTCGGGGCCAACGGGCGGGCAGGGAGGATTGCATCGCGACAGTTTTTCTTCCAAACTCGCGCATCGCTGTTGCAAGTAACGCAGAGCGTCTTGACAAAAGGCGAGCCCCTCGTAGAGTTTTATTTTTTTCTTGATCTCCACCAAGATGCATCGATCTTGTTGAACGTGGCCTGAACGAAAGAACGAACGAATAAAAAGTTACTCCGTAATTGAATAACTCGAATGACGTACCGGTATCATCGGGGATCAGATGATCGACCTCGTTTCCTCGGACCCTCATCCAACATTTGACCATCCTCAATCTAGCGCTGAGCTCCAGCGCGATGTTCCTCGACTCCAACAACTTGGCCAACTCGATGATGTTGAAGGTGAGCGGGTACGACCTCGTCTCGAGGGCCGTGAATCCCGCGTCGAACAACACAGTCCGGTCGTTACCATTAGTAATCAAACTTCGCGGATTCGCGCCGCACTCGAGCAGGGCCCTGGTGACCTCGACATCGAGTCGCGAGACCGCAGCCCTCAGAGGCGTGTCTCCGTTTGCGTTCCTTGCCTCGAGGTTCGCCCCTTTCTCAACGAGCATCCGGACGATCTCCAGCACCTGTCGACGGCAGTCGCAGTAGCTGAGCTCGGGGGCGCGGCACTGGCAGCGCAGCATGCACGGCCTCGAGAGCGCGTGCAGGGCCGTCGAGTGCTCTTGGTCCTGGTAGTTCGGGTCGACGCCGCAGTCCAGCAGCACCTGGACGCAGGCCGCGTGCCTGTACTGGGCGGCCACGTGCAGCGGGCTGCGCGGATGGTTGCGCATGAGACTGTCGTCCACCAGTTTGCGAAACAGCAATCTCTCCATGGTATCCTTTTTGCCCACCAGGCAGCAGCCGTGCAGATAGTTGTAGCCCAGCCGGTCGATGAAGATCCTCATGCGTCTCTGCGTGGATTCCGGGTTCACGGCCGATTTGACGATCTTGTGGTCGTATTTCAAGAGAAACGACATGAGATTGTAGCACTCCCGCTTGACGTCGAACGACTGCGCCGCCTCGTACCTGTCGGCCAGATAATGCAGCGCGGACTTGTCGTCGTAGTCGGCGTCGAGTATGTGCACGTTGTAGCTGCTGTTGAAGTTGTTCACCGGTTCTATGCTCTCGAGCCGATCCAGTATTCTCGGGTGGTACTCGTCGAGAGCGAGCTTGAGAAAGAATCTCTTGTCGTCGTCTCTCGGGAACAGCTCTTGGTTGGTGATCAACTCCTCGAGAACCGCCACCCTCAATGGGTCGCGGTCGCGCAAAGATCTCTTGTACAATCCCTCGAATTCCCTTAGTCTGGCGTTTGTGTCGGGTATGCCCAGCAAATGTCGGTGATGACGCAGATACGTATCTCGAAACGCGTCCTGCACGTTGACCATTTTGAGTTTTTTGATCGTCGACGTTAGTTAGAAAAAAACGAAGCCCCGAGACGAGGCAATTTTTTTAGTTTAAAAGTACCGGAACACCGCGCGCGCGACACGCACACACACACACACACCGAACACCGATCCGATCAGCGCGACCACGAGCACCGGAATGACAGTTTCGATCGAAGCTGTGTCAACGACATGCTCGAGTATATTTGAAATCGGAGATTTGTGAAATTTCCGTGGTGTCGCGCCGAGCTATCGACCAATCGAAACACGCTTATAAACTGTTGACACTTTTTGCTGATATCCCTTCGTATTTTCGCCTTTCCCTCTCCGAATCCCGCGGTTATAGACGCGAGCATCTCAGAGTTTCGCGTACGAATGGCCGATTCCAATTTGGCTCATGTTGGACAAATTGAATGGGAATTTTTCATTTATGCATTTAAAATGCACTAAATATGAACGAGCAATGGTATAAAAATACATTTTTACGGAAAAGTCAAGGTTTTGTTCAGGTTTTTTTGCTAGATTCTTCAATCAGGTTACCAACTCAATTGGCTGAGTTACCTACTCGAGAAAATCATTGTTCAATTCGTTATTCCAAAGGCACCCAGATGTGGCTTTTTCCTGCGAGGCCAAAGTACTATGAAACTTGCAAAAAGAACAAGGAACATAAATTCTGTAAAAAAAGGATCTCCGACAAAAGTACTCATCTGTAAGAAATTTAATCTATAGTATAAAAATACGTCAACCAAAATTTCCAACTGTGCTCAATTAAAAAACAATTTTTCGAGCCTATCATAGAACTCCCATATGAATGCGAATCACAAAGTCACGACAAAAACGCACCATGCGTACAGTACGTTGACATATAAACTTGCAGCACTTAAAAAACTGAGAGAAGGGGTCTACCGAAATTTGTTACAAACCAATGAATACATACGCTTGCTTGACTTTTGCTGCTGCTTCGACTATGTAATTTTTGTTACACACCTTTTCGTCGCAATTTGTGGGTATCCATTAATTTATGCCAAATAAATATTTGCTCTCCGCAGCGGGCGTATTGCACTTCCGAGCTTCATATTGCCAATAAAACATATGTTGTGTGTGTGGCAGCTACAAATATGTAAAGCTCGACGTGTATGTGGCTTACACATTCGCGTATACAGGTATGTTTTAAACTGCATATAGGCTGGAATCTGACGTGAATGTAGTATACGTATCCTGCAATAATATTGTGTATATCGAGAAAGAACAACATTTTTAAGCATGTCTTTGAAAAAAGATGATAAAAATGCTGTGATATATGTTTTCTTCGTTACTTCCAGTCGAGAAAGTAGAATTTTCATGCATGTAATATCGAATTACGCGACATTTGTACCCCCTGGCGGCAAAGAAGAACGTATACAACGACAAAGATGATATATAAATTGTTATTTTTTTAATTTAAATCCGTTTAAAAAATATGTCGCGAACGATTATTTTACATAATATACTTATTTACATTTATTTACAATCGCACATGTAAAACCTATGTCACAAAAAACAGTTCTTTCTTTTTCAAATGAGACGATTAAACTTTTGGTTATTAAAAAGCTCGATGATTTTTATGATTCTTCTTGCTGAGAAGTCAATTCAAATTGATAAAAATTCACACGTCCTTATCCTTGCCGGCGTCGATCTCTTCACCTTCCAACGGCTCTCCCTTGTAAGCCTGCGTAAGCAAAAGCGAAAAAATATGTATAAAAAAACGCTGCGGGTCAAAAGATTTTTGTTACACACCTTTTCCGCCACTCGTCGCAATTTGTGGGCCATTTCGTCGCCGGTCTCTCTCACCATGTCCGAGAAGTATCCGTTCTCCATCTCGGTCAGCAGCAGGTACGGATGGCCGTACTCCACGGCGCAGCCGAACTCCATCACGAGGACTCGGTCGCTGTCCATGATCGTGTTCAGCCGATGCGCGATCGTTAATACTGTATTATTTTTAAACTGCGAACATAAACAAAAGAAGGTAAAATTACGTCAGTGTTACGACAAAAAATGCGACGTGAATCGTTCTTACGTTACTCCGGATGGCCCTCTGTATCATCTTGTCCGTCTCGGGGTCGACGTTGGCCGTGGCCTCGTCCAGCACCAGTATCTTGTTCTTCTCCACGATGGCCCTGGCCAAGCAGAGCAGCTGCTTCTCACCGGCGCTGAGATTGTTGCCGCTCTGCTCGATCTGCTGATCCAGGGAGGTGAACGACTTGTTCAGCTCGACGTCCCTCAGGGCCGACCAGAGCTCGCTGTCCTCGAACTTGTGCTCGGGATCGAGATTGTCGCGCAGCGAGGCCGTGTACAGCATCGGCTGCTGCGGTATGATGGACAATTTGCGTCGCAGAGCGCGCAACCCTATGCTCGCGGTGTCGACGCCGTCGATGTAGAGTTTGCCCCGGGTGGCGGTGAGACGGAAGAGGGCCGCGATGAGGGACGACTTGCCGGCGCCCGTGCGCCCGACGATGCCCACCTTCATGCCCGACTCGATCACGATGTTGAGATCCTTGAGCACGGGATCCTGGGAGCCCTGATACGTCAGGTAGAGTTTCTCGAAGCGCACCTCGCCCCGACTGGGCCAGTCCTTGGGCACGAGCTCGGTATTCGGTGTCTCGTAGGGACCCTCCTCGTCGAGCTTGGTGAACTGAAAGAGACGCTCGACGCTGATCATCTGCGAGACCATTTCCGCGGCCATCTTCATGCCGTGCTGCAGCACGCCGGTGATGGCCAGCACTTGGGTGATGGCCAGGCCCACCTTGCCGCCGTCCGAGTCGTTGAGAATGACGAAGCTGTAGGTGACGACGGCGACGAAGGCCACCGAGACGAGATCGATCCAGAAGCCAAAGGCCGACATGGTCGACAGCACCAGCGAGAAGGCCGCCGTGTGGTAGTCCTGATGATCGTCGAACTGCTTCGTCACCATGCGCTCGGCTTGGCAGGCCCTGATGGTCAGCAGACCCCGGAGGGTCGAGTTGGCGTGCGAGAACACGGGGCTCTTGGCGTTGCCCTCGAGCCGCTTGACGCTGCGCGCCGTCGCCAGGTAGACGAAGCGCAGATACAGGTGGATGCAGATCATCACCGTCATGGGCAAGATCAGGGTCCAGTTGATGACGAGCACTTGCACGGCGACGCCGATCAGGATCGAGAGCACCTGGAAGCTCTCCATCATCGCCTGCGTAAGCGTCTCGTCGACGGCGCTCAGATCCTTGGAGAAACGATTGATGATGCGGCCCGACGGGTTGCGATCGAAGAAGCTGATGGGGGCGCGCATCAGGCAGCCCAGCATCATCTCGTGGATGCGGAAGGACGAGTCCTTGCAGATGCGAAAGAGGAGCATGTTGCGGCCGATGGTGAGCGAGACGCTGCCCATCACGAGGATCGTGTAGAGATAGAGATGCCAGCTGGAGGATTCGGGCTTGGAGGAGGAGGGGGGCAGAGTGGTGTTGACGGCGAGCGTCAGGTTGTAATACTTTTCGACTTCGGCTTCGTGTTTTACCCTGGATTAAAAAAAATAATTATTACACTATAATCACTAAACTATGCCAAAGAAAATTACTTTTATTTTACTAAATTAATCGCTGCATAATAAATTTTTTTTTTGCCAAAAAAATTTTCAATGGCGATAATTTGAAATCATAGTTTAGAAAGTTTAATCGATATCCGACTCACCAGTAGGCGACCCAATAATCAGCACCGCTGCTGAACAATTGGGCCACGACGTACATGAGCGCCAGGCAGATCAGCATGCAAATCGAGCCGTTGGCCTTGAAGTACTTCCAGTACAGCGAATTCGACACCGATCCCTTGGCCACGAATTCCTGCGTCTCTTGGGGCTCGTCTTCGCCGTCGCCTTCTCCTACCTGCGTCTCCGCCGCCGACTGCTGCTGCTTGGTGTGTTCCTCGATGTTCAGCTCCGCGTCGTCGTCGTCGTCGTCCACCACGCTCTTTCCGTCCTCACTCTTGACCTCGCAAATCGACATCTTCCTTATGAGCTCGATCAATTCTTTGCTGCCTTCGCCGATCGAGTTTTGGCGAATCCTCTCGGCCATCTCCAGGGCCGAGTCGTCGGGCGCGCCGTCGAACGCCACGCGGCCCGCCTCGAATTGCAGTATGCGATCGACGTCGCGCAGAAACTGCGTCTGATGCGTCACCAGCAGTCGGGTCTTGTCGCGCAGCAGCCGCAGCACGCAGCGGTCGAAGAGCGACCTCGCCACCGCGGGATCCACCGCGGCCAGCGGATCGTCCAGCAGGTAGATGTCGGCCTCGCGATACACGGCCCGGGCGAGATTGACGCGGGCGCACTGGCCGCCCGACAGCCCCGAGCCCTTCTCGCCCACGAGGGTGAGATGGCCGTGGGGCAGCTGCTTGAAGTCCTCCTCGAGGCAGCAGGCGCTCACCACCTGCTGGTAGCGCTTCTCGTCGTAGGGCTCGCCGAAGAGGATGTTGCTGAGCACAGTGTCGTTGAACAGCCAGGGCTCTTGGGCGGCGTACGAAACCGTGCCACCCAGGCGGACCTCGCCGCTGCTGGGCTTCAGCTCGTTCAGGATTATTTTCAATAGCGTGCTCTGGCGAAATAAACGAACCCTTCAAAGATCGAACGTAAAAAAAAAAGGTAAAACCTCGTACCTTTCCCGTTCCCACGTTACCGACGACTCCGATCAATTCTCCCTGCGGCACCTCCAAGTCCAGCTCCACGACCATCTGCTTGATCTCCTTGTCGGTCTGGCTCTTGTTGGACCACGAGGCGCTCACCTTGTCCAGCTCGAGGGCGTTGTCCTCGTCGCGGCAGGGCACCACCCCCTTGGAGCCGCTCTCCTCCATCAGCAGAAACGTCTGGACGCGCTTGATCGTCACTACGGCCTCGGCGTAGTAGTTGAGGCCGCGCGGAAACAGTCCGGCCATCGTCAGGGTCAGGGTGCTGAAGTACTGGGCGATCGAGAACACCATGTCCGCCCTGATGGTACGGCCGGACATCAGTACGTAGCAGAGGATGGTCACGCACAGGGCCGAGCGCTGGGCGTACGAGAACGAGGCCCAGGTGGCGCCCTTCATGTAATTGGTGAACGCGATGACTTTGAGCTCGCGTCGACGAGCCTCGGAGACCATCTTGCTGAAGACCTTCTCCCAGGTGTACATCTTGATGACGCGTATGCCGCTGATGATCTCGTTCATGTGGAGCACGCGCAGATCCACGCGCTCCGTGATGATCTTGCGCAGGCTGTGGATCTTTTTGCCCCAGTAGACTGAGAAAAAAATAAATGAATGAATTTGAGAGAAATTTCAGTACATATAAGCTCCGAGGAGAAAATTTTATTGAATGTATGAAATATTCATCGTCAGATTTAGTTGAATTAAACTAATATATCATTACGATAATAGTCAGTTCAACTGTTAAATTTTAAAGTTATTAAAAATAAACTTTAAAATTTACTTTTTTTTTTATCAAATTTAATTTTTTTATGATTGTAAGTTAAAGTTTATTAGTTAAATTGTAACTATGAAATTGACTTGAGCTATAGTTGCAATGATATATTTTTTCAATGATATAATTAACGTTTAATTGATTGAATAAAATTTCTCCCCTCAGAGAAGTATTTTACACAACTATAGGATATAACGACCCTTGTTATTTTCTGAATAAAAAAAATTTTACAAAAAATAGACTATAATAAAAAAAATTGTGAACTTGGAATTAAATTACATGTGGTTAACATGCGTCAAAATGAAGATCAAAATGACTATTATCGTAAGTTATTTGCAAAAATTTCTCGTTTAAAAAATATACAGGTAATAGTTCCTTACAATTTTGAAAAGGTACTTTATTTTTAAAAGTAATATTCTATTTTACCTTGAAACGGCACCGTCTGAAAGACCATGAACAGCACCCCGGGCAGCGCGGGCGTACCTATCTCCGTCCACAGGTAGTAGCAGACGGTCAGTCCCTGCAGCGGCATCAGCCAGAAGTAATGCAGAAAGACGAACATCTGCTCGAAGCGCACCACGTCGTTGGTGAGCAGATTGATGACTGTGCCGCCGCCCGCTTGGCTCGCCGACTCCGACGACAGCTTGAGCACCTTCTTGTAGATCATCGCCGAGCTGGCGACTCGCAGCTTGTAGCCGAGCTCGCGCAGCCTCCACGTCACGTGGCAGAATATGATGGACTCGAACAGGGTCATGGCTATCACCCCGGTGGCGAAGTAGTAGGCCTTGACGATCGAGTCGGGATCGTCGCGCTCCGTCGTCGTGGAGAAATGCCTGATCAAGAAGCCCAGCGCGATCGGCTGCAGCATTCTGCGTGCGAACAGAAAAAATAGTTTTTTTTTTTTCATTTTTTATTCGAGACTATGGACTGAGTCGATGCGTATCGAGTGTGTACTCACTTGACCATTATGGTCAGTATCGCCGCGTACAATCCATTGTACATGAATTCCTTGAAATACGTTCTACGTATCGCTTTTTGCAAGCTCGGCTTCGTGTTTCTCTTTGCGGATTCTTGAAGTTCTATTTCCCACTGTCTGGCAAGAATACGAAAATTCAAACGATCGTTATCAATTTTGAAAAAACCAGTTATGCAACACTCACCTCTGTAAATCGGCACCGGCGAGGTCGCTCTTGTCCCATGGTAAAACCGCGTGCAGATCCTCCGGCTCCAAGTCCTGTTTTCTCCCCTGCCAGAATATCGGTATCAACCAGCTGTTAAAATAGTAAGTTTAACGATATATTTTCAAGTTGAAAAGTAGGGCAACGCGAAGTAAGTCGATAACGATACGAGCTTTTACTTCAATTAAAAAAAAGAAAAAGGAAGAAAAGAAAAATTATCAGCGAGCAATTTTTCAAAAGTGCCTGACAAATGATCCAACTCGGTCGCATTCCACTTGCGTAAGCTCGGTACACGCACATTTTATTATTGTTTTTTTTTGCTCTCTTCTCTCTCGCGTCGCCTATACATGCCGTGGTGGTGGAGAATCATTGTCGCGCGAGTCATTTTTCATTCTAGCGAGCGAGACGTTTATAACGTCGACTCGCGGTTTTATTATGTATTTATGAAAATGCTCGCATATAAAGTATACCATAACGAGGACGTGCATCTGTATCGCGTTCAACTAATTCCTTTTTAGAATCATGTAATTTTGCATGTAATTTTACCGTTCAGATATAGACAGGCTTCCCGCAAAAATTTAAAATCAGAGTTTCGCATCTCGTACGCGTAAGTCGATATTTCTCAGAAAATATAAACAATACAGAAATCGATTCTATATCATAACGAGCGAAGTGAAAACATCTTTGAAATCAGAGAAAAGCTGTCAAAGTGACGATGTTGCATAATTTCAATATCTACGTAAACTAACACATATAATCACGCTGGAAGATACTCACCCGAAAAACAGCTTACTGATCGGATTCGCCTTGAGCCGGGGATTGATCACTCCCTTGTGTATCTTGTCGTCCATGACGTTTTAATTTCTTAATGTTCCTTTATCGTCGCTGCAACACACGCACGCTACATTAATTCACACGTTGGATAATAACAATCATCGATTGATTTTTTTTTTGTCTCTCTCGCTCGACATTGCGCGCAGTTGCATCGTATAGTCGTAATATACACACGCGCGCGCCTCGATAAGCGCGACTCGTAGGTACATACGATGCACGCGCGACAGTGGCAATGGGTTCGTTGCAGCATTATCGTGTCTCGATCGTAATCTCTATCGCGAAAAGTAGAAGAGAAAAATAATGAACGCGATCGCGACTACGACGTACACTGCACACGCGCGTACAACGATAATGCGAGTATAAGCGAGAAAAATCAAAGTATATAAAGAACTTACGTTAATCGGGTATTTTGTTTTCTTCCGGAGAAGGTCAACGGTCCACAGCGAAAGGTAATTCGGTTAAGTACATTGCCTCGCAATGTAGCTTATACTTCTTGTTTAGCGAGTCGGACTGGCCTCGCTGCAACGCTATGACACCGTCGTATACAACTCTGCGATCACGTGCGTCTCGTTGCACCTTATCGTAATCTCTCCACCGCGAGAGAGCTTTTGATTCACCGCACGAATTAACAGGCAGTTACACACACACGAGTCGAATTTTTGCAGGCGCTATTACGGCAGTAGAGAGCGCGCGCGCGAGAGACAGTTTAGAACGTACACGGCGCGCGCGTATTTATTTACGACGACCTGTGTTTATAGTGTACACGCGTACACGCTCGTCCGTATAATGTGTATAAATATATGTATTATAAACGCGTCTCGTTCGCTTTTCTTTCGCACAGAGTAGACCAGAGTGGCCTCTGACACTGGTCGAGCGTATTTATTACACAACGTTGCTGCTGCTGCTGCTGCTGCTGTTGGCACTTTTAGCTGCCGAGTTCCCCGTGAACCAACACATATATTACAATCACACACACACTTTTATGTTGTATTAATATGGAAAAGCCTTGACTCGCCGGGGTCGAGTTTGTATACACAACACAACTGAAGAGAGAGAGGCGAGATGAATTCAACTTTTCTTTCAACGGCCCGCGAGCTGCTTTTCTCTCTCACGCTCGCCCGAGCCGGTCAACACTATTGCCGCTCTTCGGCTCGTCGGACTGTTGTGCCCCGAGTTAAAGATATCGCAACTCTTTTAATACATACATCTATATACGCGCACACTTTGGAGCACAGACACACCGAGTCGGGCGTGTGTATATAGACACTTGCGCGCGCGCTCGCGAGTGCAGTTTTATAATGAGTGCAGCGCGTCTTTCTCACACGCAGCTGCTATACCGTATGCGCCAGAAATTTATATCTATACAATACGCGTGGGTATATCGTGTTTCAACTTAGCGCAGCAAGTTCAACGCGAATACATTTAATGATGGAGAGTAGGGCAGCGGCGGCGTCGCCGAACCACGTGCAGCACACGCTATTCGCTATATAGAGTCTGCGGACTTTCGACTGCGCGGAGTCGATGGCTTACTATATTTAAAAACTATACACGAGAGCGTCGACAAAAAATGTTAAAGAGAGAGGATTGATACAGTCGTAAAAATGTCAGCGACCGAAGCCGGCGTTTTAAGCTCAATATTATAATAGTTGTGTACGCGTTTACAGCTCGAGCCGAGTGACTCGACATTTTTAATAATATTTATGCGTCCTCGTTTTTTATAATTCGCGCGATTATTATTTCGATGGTAAAAAGTACAGGATTATATGAGCGATTCTGTAGAAAAAAGATTTAAAATTACGATTGAAATTTTTATTTTAAACTCTCTTTTTGGTTTTGGGATATCAAATGCATAAATAATAATTTTTACCGTTCGAAAAAATTACATTATACAAAGTTGTGATATGAGTGAATATTAATTAGCTAAATAACGTAAACAGTTTTGAAGCATTGCGCTTCTAATGGACGGTAACAAAGCTTGCAAAAGTATGTAACATCATTAAATCGATATCAACTTCAAGGATTTTATTTTTTTACAATTGATAACGTGCTACATTTTCCTCGTCAAATTTATTGACTTTTTCAAAACTTGAACATTTTTTTTACATATAATGAAATAATATTAGAGGATCTTATGATGAAATCAATGGGTGTATCAGTGTGAAATTTGAAATAGTCCTTTCTGTTCAATTTTTTCTCGCGTGCATGTGGAATTTTACCACCTATGTGTTTTTGGGATTACTCTTCGCTGAATATTTCTTTATGCGTATGCGACACCATTAAGATTTGAATTAGTGTGAACTTTGAGATAACCCTGCTTGAGAAGTTCTTACCACAAATCTCACATGCATATCAGGCACCACTGTGCACCGAATCAATGTGACCGCTGAGATTGCTCTTATGTGTGAATGTCTAATTGCCGCATATATTACATGTATGGGTGACACGTCGTTGTGCATCGCACAAACACATGTGGGTGTTGAGATGACATTTTTGGGTAAATGTCTTTCCACATACATTGCACGTATGTCTGATACCACTATGCACCGAATCGATGTGGATTTTAAGACTACTCTTATGTAGAAATGATTTTTCGCAAATATTACACTTATGTTTGATACCATTATGCACTGATTGAAAGTGCATTTGGAGATTATTTTTCTGGGTAAATGACTTTCTGCAAATATCACACTCATATTTGTTACCATTATGCACTTCATTGATATGGTTTTTGAGACTAACTTTCCAAGTAAATGAATTTCCGCAAATATCACATGAGTGGGTAATCCTATTGTGCACCGCATCGATGTGGGTTTTGAGATAACCTTTTTGGGTAAATGTCTTTCCACATACATCGCACGTATGTCTGATACCACTGTGTACCGCATCGATGTGGATTCGGAGATTTGGTTTTTCAGCGAATGCCTTTCCACATGTGTTGCACGTATATTTGATACCATTGTGCGCCGTATCGATATGTCTTTTGAGACCACTTTTCTGAGTAAATAACTTTCTGCAAATATCGCACTCATGTTTGACACCATTATGTATTCCATCGAAGTGAATTTTTAAATTACCCTTTTTTGAGAATTTCTTTCCACACATTTTACATGAATAAGTTGAATCGTTATGAACTGTAAGGATGTTTGATTCGAGTCTATGTTTGCTGTTAATCTTTTTCGAAATTTTTCTGTTCATATTTCGTTCGAAAAGTCCACAGTCGACATTCAAATTCGATTCTTGAACAGTGTCACCAACAAATTCCTGTGTTATTTCACTCACGTTTTCTATTTTAATTGCGTTTTGAGTTTTACAATCATCACTATCCTTCACATTTCGCACGTGATTTTGAGAATTATCGTTCATTTTCTTTACTGTCAATAAATCAAAGTTGGGCTTGACGTCTTCACATTCAACGACTATTTCCACGTTGTCCTCGAGTTTATTTTCAAATTTTATGTCACTTTTCCGAAGCGTTTGGATCTGTAGAAGAATTGAAGCTATGTGAGAATTTTTCATTTAAAAAAGATCTATTGTACAAGCTACATATAATTATCAAGTCTTACTGAATTTTCTGGTGGAAATGGTAAGAGTTGAAAGTTTTTCAGATCGGGTTTCTCGTCACCTGTCTCGTAATCATTTTCAATGAATGATTCGTCGCGAGACTCCTCTTTTACCCTGAAATAACCTCAATGAGATTAAGTATTATGTTGTAACGTTTTTACATTTCAATTTTGAAAAAATGAAAATTACCTGACCGCAGAATCAAGTATGTCACTGGATTCCATTGTTTGTACTTGTATTTACGTTAACAATTAACCTTTTTGTGATGAATTTACTCACGAAACTAACTAAAATCTACAAGATTAGCGAGGAGGGCTGTTCTGTGCTCGTAATATGCAAAACTGCGTCTATGCGAAGATTACTTGCGACCATAAGTCCTCGCGTATCGTAGCGCCGTCGTGGTATGCACCGCGTGCCGGTCAACCATCGAGAGGTCATGTATGCGAGGCACAACGTAAACAATGGAAAATGAATTTATCTATGCGCTGTTGGCTAGTTTCTCCAAATAATTCGGCTCAAATTTTGTGTTTTGAAATCTCGAACTTATCAATGTAAACGAAGCAAAACTAGTGTATTAATGAGCACATTACATATTCAATTAGTTTTTGCTCGACGAATAAACATTTTTCCTTAAAGTTAACAGTTATCAGCCATTCATGTATAGTCATTAAAATTATGGGAAAACACGATTTTTTGCATTCAAGATCTAAATTTTGATTGTACCATGGTTCTGCGAATTAAATGACCAATTATTCACCCATTAGTCAAATAACAAAAATTTCAATCGCAATTTTTGCCTCGAACGTTAAGAATTTCTTATAAAATCGCTCATATATACCCATGATTTTTTTCATTCGATTCGTGTAAATTTACGCGCGCACTCGACCTTCCCGAAGATGATTGCGATAATTTATCGTGAATAAATCTTAAACAGCTCTCTGCCGCGCTGAAACCTTGGAATCTGGGAATGATGAAATAAACATGAATAATACCGCGCGGGCTACATTAAATACAAGAGAGAATTGCTTTATATACATTTCCATGTCGCACGCTCGGCGCTTCTCAATTCGCAGCCGAGAGCACTAATTGCCTTCAATCTTCCCGGCAAAGGCGGCTGAGCGCTTCGTAAGCTCCCTTCTAATACTTTTGATTGAAAATGATTGAGACGCTCGATCGGTGGCGGCGTCGTCGGTAGCAGCGCCAAAGCCATACATATAATCCTTCGGAATCGGTTGTATTTGCTGCGACAAATTGCCTACATATATATCTTTTGCCGCTGTACATGCATACAATAAATATGAAAAAATGCGACGCGATTCGCGCGCATATGACAAATTAGTCGAGTACGCGTCGCGCTCGCGATAATCTTAAAGGTGAATCGCGCGCGCGCCACGGCGGCCCCTTATCTATTTGTGTCAATTGGGCGCATACAATTCACGCGAATGCGTATTTAATGCAGACTTGTGCGTATCGGAGAGAAAGAGAGAGAGAAAATTCGTGCGACTATAATGAGTTTAATTGCGTCAGCAATTGCGAGGCGTATATGATCGATTCTTTGAAAAACCCCTTGAAATTCAAGGCTGAAGTAGAAATTTGAATTATTGTCGCTTGGCTGCATTTGTTGAGGACATACAAGTTGGGACTTCCAATAAAGTTTGAAGGAATGAAATTGACTTGAAATCCTCCAACTAGATCTGTAGACAATGTATGACAATCAAAATTTCCTTAATTTACGCATTTCTCATGTTTCCAGGATATCGATGGCATGATAATCCAACAACGAACATTTTAATCGCGATTTCAGACTCAAATTTTTAGCCTCATGATTTGTAGAATTGCTCGTGTAAATACTAGCAATAAATCGTAACCTCGATTAGTATCTCTTGAAAGTATTTTTTCCGAAATCTACTGTATATCCCAGAATACAAAGCGACATACATGCAGCTACATACAACGGTAGAGAGGGGGAAAGTTTCCCCATGGAGCTAACAGTCGCGAAACTAACCTCGCCAATAAACACGACCGATGCGTTCGCTCACTAATGCGTTGTGCGGAGTTTAGTTCCTCGGTGAGCGAGCGTTTACAAATAATATTTGTAAAAGTGTGTTGGTGAAATCAAGGTACACTGTTGTCTACACAAGGTATAGTAGCTGAATAATATTTTTTCGGTGCAAATCGTTAAAAATTATACTGAACATGCAGAGATTCAAGGAAGTAACGGAAAGCAAGAGTGACGTAGTGAGGTAAAAAAATTTTATGTACTAAACTAGCATGATAATTTTTCAATCCGTTTCTTACGAAATTAAATTGTTCTTCAGAGTGAAGGAAGAGCCATGCGATACTTGGTCGAATGCAGGCGAAGGTTACGATTCTTGCAAAGTCGAAAACGTTGAAACATTTCCGTTTCAGGAATTATCGGTGAGTTCAGTGATATGAATTGTGTTCAATTGATTCATAGTTAAAAACTAGCCCTCAAATTTTGTTATAGGTGAAACATGAGAACGAGGATGCGTTGCAGGAAAGCTCAGATGAAAATCTTATGATCGATTGTGAGTGCAAAGATTTTAAACCTAAAATGGAGTTATTATCAAAAACTATCTGCAAAACAGAGTACGCAAGTTGTCAACCTCACGCACCAAAAGAAAAAAGTCTAATTATTTTGATTAAAAAAGGATTTAACTATGATAATAATTGTCAATTTGTTGCGAACTCTCATTTAAAACTTGCTGAATATGAAAATCTAAAAGGTTTTGAAAAAACTGTTGAAAAAATATCATCGTGTAAATCAAAAATTGGTCGAGAAACTCAACCATTAATTAACCTCAAATCTCACATAAATGCAGTACGCGATTGTATTAAACCCTACGAGTGTGAGATTTGTCACAAATCATTTGGACGAAAGCCTCACTTGAAAAAACACATAGAAACAGTACATGATCGTAGCAAACCCTTTGAGTGTAAAATTTGTCATAAATCATTTGGATACCAATGTGTACTTAAAAGTCATACGATTACAGTACATGATGAGAGCAAACCCTTTAAATGTGACATTTGTCAAAAACCATTTGGACGAAAAGGTCACCTCAAATCTCACGTAATGACTGTACATGAACAAAACAAACCCTTTGAATGTGAGATTTGTCGCAAATCATTTGGACATAAAAGTAACCTCAGATCGCATATAACAGGAGTACATAGTTGTAGCAAACCTTTTGAATGTGGTATTTGTCACAAATCATTTGGAAGAAAAGATACCCTCAACGTGCACATAAAAGCAGTACATGTTCGTAGCAAACCTTTCGAATGTGATATTTGTCGCAAATCATTTGGATACCGGCATAGATTAAAAGATCATGTAAATGTAGTACATAAACGGAGTAAGCCTTTTGAATGTGAGATTTGTCACAGATCATTTGGAAGAAAAGTTAAACTCAAATATCACAAAAATACAGTACATGAACGTATCACCCCTTTTGAGTGTGAGATTTGTCACAAAAAATTTGGACAAATATGTAATCTCAGAACTCACGTAAAAGCAGTACATGATTGTATCAAACCCTTTGAGTGTGTGATTTGTCATATATCATTTGGATTAAAAACAAACCTGGAAAGGCACATAACTGCAGTGCATGAACATATCAAACCCTTTGAGTGTGATATTTGTCAAAAATCATTTGGACAAAAAAATACCCTCAAAAAACATATGAATGCAGTACATAATCTTAGAAAAACTTTCGAATGTGAGATTTGTCATAAGTTATTCGGATACCAGAATGTGCTGAAAACGCACATTAATGTAGCACACAATTATCTAGTCCAGTGAAAACTTACATGAAATTGCATTTTTTTGGGGAGAGATGAAACCTAGTTTACTTTATGTTTTTGGGTGCGCTGAATTCATTGCCGGTATTATTTTTTACCTAAAACATCAGCGTCAGGGTGAAAATCGAGGGTGAAAGAGTTTTTCGCTAATATCTCGCGAACGAAGCAAGATACAGAAAAACTAATTGCACCAATCGATTCCTCGTGAAATTTTACATCGAAATACACTTTAAACTTTTCAAGTGTCAGTGCAAAATTGTTCACAATATTGAAAAATTAGTTTACAGCGGCCGCTGGTGGTGGGGGCCGGCAGCGAAGGGGAAGCGACATGTATAGATATACTCGAGCGGCACCGCTGGCCCCCACCACCGGCGGCCGCTGTAAACTAATTTTTCAATATTGTGAACAATTTTGCACTGACACTTGAAAAGTTTAAAGTGTATTTCGATGTAAAATTTCACGAGGAATCGATTGGTGCAATTAGTTTTTCTGTATCTTGCTTCGTTCGCGAGATATTAGCGAAAAACTCTTTCACCCTCGATTTTCACCCTGACGCTGATGTTTTAGGTAAAAAATAATACCGGCAATGAATTCAGCGCACCCAAAAACATAAAGTAAACTAGGTTTCATCTCTCCCCAAAAAAATGCAATTTCATGTAAGTTTTCACTGGACTATATCTAATCAAACCCGACTAAAATGTAACCTAAATTCTCACATAAATACAGTCCACATTCGTAAAAAACCCTTCGAGTGTGATATTTGATACGAATCATATTTCCGCAAGGATTACCTCAAGGCACACATAAATATTTGTCATGATTTTATAAAATATTTTGGTAAATAAAGTTCATCCTAAGATATGGAGGCATAATAAATTGACAGATAAATTTTTAAGTTTGGTAAAAATATCAATTATTATCGATTTTCAATCATGTCAAAAGTTTTCTCCCATCTTTTGGAAATAAAATATTCTATTAAATAATACATTTTGTGTACATTTTTTAAAAATAATTTAAATTCTTCCACACCTGGACCAAATTCCAAATTATCACGGTAGTCCTTAAAATTCTGAGTAACTTTTAAGCACATTGAAAACTTTTTTACTCTTCCTATGATTCTATGAAGAGAATGATTTTCAAGGTAAAAATCATTTAATTTGATCACAATCAATTCACCAAAAATTGTATCATTAAATCGTCTTAATTTTTTAAAACCCTTGTCGATTTTTTTTCCGATAATTAATTAAAAGTTTCGAATGATTTTGGCTCTGTCAAACATGGGATAAGTAGTTACTCCATCTCTGGAACTTAACTATATCTATCAATCAACAATTTGTAAACGTCAAGCGACATAAAGCTCCGTCGTGATTTCGGCCTGGACTTTTTAGGACTTTTCATAAAATCGCTCATATACTCGTATCAATATTATTGCTGCTACTGCAATACATCGCGCGTAAATAAAAAATTCAGCCTATTAATAATTCCAATACGATAAGACACACGCAACACACTCGGCTCGATTATTTTTTTTAATTCACAGTATAATTCGCCGCGCTTAATGTTTCCTTTATATCAATCCACGCATTATCCTATAGTGCGCCCGCGACGTCGAGCGCCAATAGTTTACAGCGCCATGTCGATTACAATAATAACACCGACGACGATCGTCTGCGTGGCTGTCGCGCTGTTGTTATCGATCGACGGCGGCCGCGTAACGATTGCGCCGAGCAGCGAAATACTTATCCGGCCGAACGACGACTACTCGAACTCGAGTGTCTTGGAGCGATTGATCGGCCGAGCCGTCGACGAATTGTCGCCGTATCGGATCGTTTTGATCGTCGCTCGTAATTCGCACGCCAGTCATGTCGACGCGGTCGAGCGATTTTTCATCGGCAAATATCCGACGGTTTTGCTGGATCAGAGACACCTCGACGAGTTGAGGGGCTCGCTGAATCGCGGCTCGCCGAGATACACCTGTCTCTTCGTGCTGCTGAGCTCGATGATCGGCCGTGGATCGAGCGACGTAGATGATCGGCTGGACGCGATCTTGTCGGAGACGTCGCTGCTGCTCGACGATTACGTGGATATGGTGCCGAGGACCATTCGACCACGATGGCTCAGCTTGTTTCTGAAGAGCCACTCGGACGAAGAGAACGACGACGACGCGGGCTACATCGAGCAGTTGTTGCGCTACGCCTGGGAAAAAAAGTTTCTCGATTTCACGGCGATAGAGACGACGCTGCTCGATGATCATCCGATCAGAATCCACAGCTATAATCCATTCACTGATCTCCGCGAGATCGAGATCGTCGATTATCGCAACGACTCCGAAATCGAGTCACCACCCACTACACCGCTGTATCGTCTGTTCCCCGACAAGCTGCACAACATGCGCGGCTATCCGCTGCGCACGATCTTCGTGCCGGAGGTGCCCTCCCTCGTGGTCGAGCGCAACTCGACGGGCCACTCCATCTACCTGAGCGGGCCCGATTACTGGCTCCTCGCCACGATGTTTCGCGAGCTCAACGTCACGATGCTCAGTCTGCCCAGTCACGCCCAACGATACTCGCACTCCTACACGACCGATCCGGAGGATCTGCCGATCTATCAGGCCCTGAAGCTGGGGCTGATCGACGTCTCGGGCAATCAGCTGTATCTCTGGCTGGACAAGGAAGCCACGACGGAGCGCGGGATGCTGTTCAGGACGGACAGCTACTGCGCCATGGTGCCGAATCTGGTCGAGAGCCGGGTCGAGGTGTCGCGCAAGTTTTACGCCGGCGTCGCGTTCACCCTGACGGTCAGCCTCGTGGTGGTGCGTTTCACCAAACTGCTGAGATTCGACGCCGCGGTCTGGCAGGGCTCGAACGTGTTCCGACTGCTCATCGGTTTCTCGATTCCGCGCGCCTCGAGCGTACTCAGGGAACGTCTGGTGCTGGGCTCGATTTTGTTCGTCGCCATGAGCTACTCGACCATCTACTACGCCCGACTGACCAATCGCAGCCTGCGCAACTACGGCCGCGTGCCGTTTCGCAGCTTTCGCGATCTCTGGGAGTCGGGCCTGGTGCCCCTGGTGTTCGAGCCGTTCTTCGCCACGACCTTCGACTCGAACGAGAACGTCGGCAAGGATCCGTGGGTGCGGCTGCTCAAGCGACGAGCCCAGCGAGTCACCTACAGCTTCGCCGAGTGCGTCGAGCGTCAGCTGGCCCGGCCGAGCCTGTACTCGTGCCTGCTGCCCGAGACCATGGGCCACGACGTCGAGCGCCGCCAGGAGCAGGAGAATCGGGACGACGGTCAGCCGAGGATACGAGTGATGTTCCCGTGCTTCTGGAAGTCGTGGAAGGGCTTCGTGCTGGCCCCGGGCTCGCCGTACGTCGAGAAATTCGACCGGCTGTTCGTGAGGATTGTGGAGGCGGGCCTGATCCAACTGTGGCAGCACAATCACAGCCGTGCCAGGATCAAGGCTGGAGGCTACGACAAGAAGGATCGACTGGAGAGCGCCGGATTGAGGAAGCAGCTGGCCCTGATAGTCGGCGTCGGTTACGCTCTGGCGACCGTAGCCTTCGCCGCGGAATTCATCGTTCGACGCGTTAATAATTGATGCAATGTATGTGATGAAGAGAGTGTTTGCTTTTTTTATAGCGCATCGATCGACAATTACATTAATGATCGGTTGAAAGTGATTAAATTTATATTCAGTGGAAGGAAAAAAAGTTTCCTCGCGACTTTCGCGGCGTTTCGTGAAATTTCGCAATAACAGCTATAATAGAGTATTTCCGTGAGCGAAAAAAAAATGATTTTACACAAATTCGTGCTTTATTACATCTTATCCTCGGCAACTTTAATACAAAAATCATCAGCATCATCATCGTCATCGCAATTAGACGTTCTCGTCGACACTCTGAACACCTTCGAGTCTTATCAAGTCGTCGTGCTGTTATCGAACGACAATAATCGCGGCTCGTCGTCGAAGCTGATCGATGCGATCTGCGCCTCAATATCGCGGGTCAACGACGACAACACGCTCGTCTTGATAAGTTCAGCGAATTTCGACGATCACGAGACTTATGTAGCACCTCGAGATCCGCTGCTCATCAGTGCTCGACGTCCGCTGCTGATCAATGCTCGACAGACGTCGCTGCTACTGCTGGTGCTGAGCTTCGATGGATCCTCGAGACACGAGGATCTGTTCGACGAATTTTCCAAGAGTTTGAGATTTATAGTCGAGCTGTCGCCGAGGCGAGCGAGGCCGTACTGTCTGGTGATGATCTTGGTCGAGGCCTTCGAGCATCTCGTTCCGAGCGAGAGGATCAACGAGATGCTGCTGTACGCTTGGAGGAAGCAATTTTTGGATCTGACGATAGCTCAATCGTACGAGGACGAAGGCTCGACTACTCTGCTTTATAGCTACAATCCCTTCGACAACGATTACTCGATGCGGCGCTACCGGCGTGGCTCGACGGAGGCCATCGTTTTTCCCGACAAGATGAGAAACATGAAGCAATACCCGCTCAAAGTGTCGGCGGTGCGGCGAAATCCATCGCTGAACTACGAGCTGGACGCCGCGGGCAAAATCATCGACATAAACGGCTCGGACTACGGCATGGCCCTGGTGCTCTCGCAGAAGCTCAACTTCCGGATCACGTGGGTGCCGTTCAGCGGCGCCTCGAGCTACAGCCAGCCGCTGCCGGGTGCAGCGGATCTGGACAGCGACGCCACCATCCTCGACTTCATCATCAACGGCAGCATCGATCTGGGCGCCAATCAGGTCTATCTGCACTTCGCCTTCCGCAGCAAGGACAGGCAGGGCGAGCGCGCCGTGTCCACGTGGTACGACGACTACTGCGCCCTGGTGCCGGTGGAGGCGCCGCCGCCCATGGGCCGACTGCGCACCGGCGTGATCGACATCATGCTGACGGTGCTGGGCCACGTGAGCTTCGCCCGCTTGGTGGCGATGCTGCTGAGATTCAGCGCGAGGCACTGGGAGGCCCATCGAGTCTATCAGGCGATACTGGGCAGCCCGACGACGCGCCAGCCCGTGCGGAACGCCGAGAGGCTGTTCTTCCTCTGTCTGATCGTCGTGTCGTTTCAGTACTCGCTGGAGATCTACTCGGGCCTGACGAAGATCAGTCTGCGACAGGCCAACGACGGGCCCTATCACACGCTGATGGATCTGGCTCGGTCGAATTTGACCGTGGAAATGAACGCCAATCACTACAACATGACGTTCGACAATTGCGACGGCGCGCTGAAGCAACTGCGCGCCAGGATCAAGTTCGTCCAGGACCCGATGAGCTGCCCGCAGCGGCTGCTGCGCCATCGCAACGTCGCCTGCCTGATGGACCGCTCGGTGGCCAGGTCGTTCTTAGCCGAGGAGTCCGGCCACGGTGCGGACGACGACGACGACGGCTCGACAGACAGCAGCAGCAACGCGGGACCGGCGCCGCGAATGAAGATACTGCGCGAGTACCTGTGGACGGCGCCCAAGGGCTGCATCCTGTCCGAGGCGTCGCCCTACATCGTCGAGGCGAGCCGCGTCATGCGCAGGATCCTGGAGGCCGGACTCTGGAACTGGTGGATCGTTTACGACAAGAGGAGGGCGACGCCCCGAAGACACTCGCGGATGATCGGCCATCTCGACGAGTGCGATCGATTTTTGCGCAGCAAGCTGCTCATCGTGTGGTACGTGGGTATAATCGCGTCGCTCGTCTGCTTCCTGGGCGAGCTCGTCGCGGCGAGATTTCGATTGCGCGAAAGAGTGACGAGCCGATGGCGTCGTTCGCGATGGACCTAATGATCGCACGAGTTTTTGGTATAAATCCGTCATCGGTGCAAATGTTACGATTTTCCGAACTAAGATAAAGTTATGTACGCGTTGATTACGTTTAGGGAAATTAATCCTCGCTTAGTTATTAGTAACATAATAAGACAATTTTATGCAATTCATGCATCCTAGTTACCTTTCGTGAATACGTAATTATATTAACCTATTATAGTTAATGAACGTTGACAAACGTTAATTGTATAAAATGTAATATATTTTCATCGTAAGATACACGATATATTTTGTATCGAGTGAACTGAATTGACATTACTTGCAGAACTTGTTTATCGACGATAATTGCAGTTGTTCAATGTTCCTTGAAGATATTTCTCCGAAAGTCCGAAGCCAGGATTTTTCAATGACATATTAATATTAATATTAGAGAGCAGGCACTCCAGAAAGGGTTCAAATGATGACTGGAATGTTAAAAGATAAATGAACAAATAAATAATAGTTGGAAATATTTTATTATTCTTTGCAAAAGTGAAGGATATACATGTGATAGAAGTTCTCATTGGGATTAAATGTCTCGGGACAAATCTCACATTAGATAGTTTATTTCGACCATGAACTGCACCCATGTGTCTTTTAAGTTTCTATTTTTTTTTTTTTTTTTTGTAATGATTTTTTACAAATATCACATTCAAAGTATTTGATCCTATTATGTACTGAATTTATGAGAGCTTTGAGCTTACACTTGTGTGGCTAAATGATTTGCGACAAATGTCACATTGAAAAGGTTAAATAAGATTATGTACTGTTTTTACGTGAGTTATGAGGTTACATTTTTATCCAAATGATTTGTGACGAATCTCACATTCAAAGGGTTTGCTCTCATCGTGTACTGTAATCGTGTGTCTTTTAAGTACACATTTGTATCCAAATGATTTGTGACAAATCTCACATTTAAAGAGTTTACTACGATTATGCACTGCGTTTAGGTGAATTTTGAGATGACCTTTTTGCCCAAATGATTTTTGACAAATATCACATTCGAAGGGTCTTTTATGAGAATGTACTGAATTTATGTGCACGTTGAGGGTACTTTTTTGTCCAAATGATTTAAGACAAATCTCACATTCAAAGGGTTTGCTACGATCATGTACTTTTGTTATGTGAGTTTTTAGCGCACTTTTTTGTGCAAATGATTTGTGACAAATATCACATTCGAAAGGTTTGCTGCGTTCATGTACTTCATTCACGTGACATTTGAGTTTACTCTTGTATGCAAATGATTTGTGACAAATCTCACATTCAAAGAGGTTACTTCGATTATGCACTATATTTATGTGCCGCTTGAGTTTACTCTGCTCTACATATGATTTCTGACAAATCTCACATTCAAAGGGTTTGATTAGATTATGTACTGCTTTTGAACATTGAGATAGCGTTTTTGTACAAATGATTTTTGACAAATCTCACATTCGAAGGGTTTAATCTGATGATGAAATCCATCTATATGTGTTTATCGAGGCTACGCTTACATCCAAAAGATTTTTGACAAATATCACATTTAAAGGGTCTGCAACGATCATGTACTGTTGTTATGTGAGTTTTTAGCGTAATTTTTTGTCCAAATAATTTGTGACAAATCTCACACTCGAAGGGTTTGCTTCGATTATGGAATAAATTCGTTTGAGATGCGAAATTACTTTTTTGTCTCAATGACTTGTGACAAATTTTACATTTATACGATCTAATGTCCTCATGTGACGTATTGATATTTCTCTTAAATTTTGATTTTTCTTCGTAAGTTTTTCGACACGTTTTGCACTCGTACGATAATTTGCTTAGTGCATTTTTTCCAAATATTTTAACCTTCTTAAATGTATCAATTTTCAATGGGGAATTTACTTTAAATTGACAATTATTATGATAATCGAAACCTTTTTTTATCAAAATAATTGGTGAATAACTCTGATACTCAGTTTTGCAGATTGTTTTCGATAGAGGCTTACGTTCAAGTTTCACATATTTGCACTCAAAATCTAAAAATATTTCTTCATCTAATTTTTTCTGTAACGTCATATTCTCCTGAAATAAAAATATTGATAAATTTTTTTATCACGAAGAAACGAAATATAACTCAATACATTTAACTCACCGATGATTTGTCAATAGGGTAGTTTTCTAAGTTTTTGACTTCGGAAGAGTCCATCGAATCGAAATTTTCGCCTGCATCTGGCCAGGTATTGTTTGGCTCTAGTTTCACCCTAATGAATAATTAAGTTTGATGAAGCGTTCGCTTTAAAAAATATAATGGCGTACATTAAAATAGTTATGTACCTAACTGTATCCTCGTTGCATTCCATTTCTTGATTTTCATGTATGTTCACTGGAAAATCTTGACGATATGCATTGAAAAAATATTTGAGGTTATACGCCTCGAGTAGTCTCGATATGTAACCTGTAAATTTGAATGTACCTTTGCGCCAATTTGTAAACACTTATTCAGGAATCAAGTTCTTAGACAGAAACTGAACATATACTACTTGTACATTAGTGAGGTGACCCCGTGTACGTAATTGTAGTAGCTTCTTGACGATGTTTCCCCCTCTACCATCGACTCGATATACGTATTTATGTGTATGCGATACACAGCGACAGGAAAACATTCACACATATGTCTCTGAATCCACACTGATAAATTTCATGATTTTGTAGAATAACTACAGCCGTCGCATCGATATAATATTACAAAGTACATAATCTACATTTTTTGTTATTAGAAGTATTTCAATATATTATTCATATAGAATTTAAAAAGTGATGGTTAATATATTTTTAAAATAAACACGAGGATGATTTGTAATTGGTCAGTAGATTTGGTCACATGGTGTGCGATGACATTGAACGCGATTTTCTAAATTATTAATTTTATGAGAGAACGGAAAAGGATATAGAAAAAAAGGAAAGGAAAATAAGATCGAAGCCGATCGATAACTCTAATTCGAAATCTACTTTGCGCGCGACTCGAAGTGTGTCAAGACGAGCTCATAAAGTAAATTGATCTTGAACGTTTGTAACGTCTTTAACTCGCTACATCATATCTTTTTTAATCAAATATATAATGTACCTCAAACGCGGCTTCGACACACACCAATGACGAAATATCAGGCTTGTTTGTTTTGCTGTCTCTTTTTCCTCTCGTCGAAGTGCGCAGCCGAGGAAGCGATCATCCGCACGATCGAGGACGCGTTGCGCCAGGTCAGCAATGGATATCGGCAGATGGTCATGGTACTTCCGGCGGAGGATCGGCAGCGACGCGAGGGCAATTCGTGCTTCCACCTGAACGTCGACGGCGTAGCGAAATTCGCCAACTCGCTGCAGACGACGACGCTGACGATCTTGGACTCGAGGGCTTTCGACAATTACACGTTCGATGCCGGTGGCGACACACTGTTTATTAGCTTCATCGGCTTGGGCGATCATCGGTATCTATTCGAGACGTTCGACGAAATTCTGCGCTTCCTGGTGAAATCCAGCCCGAGCGGCTCGCGGCCGCACTCGTTGTTCGCGATAGCGAGTCGCGAGCCGATTCCCAGGGAGTCGACGTCGCGCCTGCTCAGGCACGCCTGGTCGCTCCGTTTCTTGGACGTGTCGCTGTTGCTGCACCACGTCGTGGACGATAAAGTTGCATCGACGTCGTCCAGCTGCGACGGTCCGATATTTCTCACCTACGATCCGTTCGTCGACCGAGTGATCGAGAGCTGCTACGAGCCGAATGTCACCAACATCTTTCCCGATAAATTGAAAGACATGCAGGGCTACCCGTTGAAGGTGCTGTTCGTGCCCGACGCCACGCTGGAGCTGCAGTGGCTCGATCCGATCAGTCAAGAACCGATCACGGCCTCGCAGTACGTCGTGCAGTTGATGTCGGCCACGATGAATTTCACCGTACAGTGGCAAATTCAAAATTTCTCCGACGACGACACGGACCTCGGCGCCAATCAGGTCTACCTACACCTCCAAACGGACCATCATCGACGCCAAAAACCCGGCCTGATCGTCTGGCTGGACGACTACTGCCTCCTCGTGCCCGTCTATCCGGTGCCCACGGTGGTGTTTCGTCTCGGCGTGCTCTTCGTGCTGCTCAACGTGGTCTTTCACGTCCTGCTGACCTACGGCGCGGTGAAGCTGCTGCGCTTCAATCGACGCCTGTGGCGGCCCCATCGTCTGCTCCAGGTGCTGCTGGGCGGCGGCGGCTTGCCCGCTAACCAGCTGAATCGAGCCCGCACGAGCGACTGGATGTTCTACCTGTGCTTGATGGCCGTGTCGTTTCGCTACTCCTGCGAGCTCTACTCGATGATGACCGATATGAGCATCCATCAGTTTCGCGAGGGTCCGTACCGCGAGCTCGAGGACGTGCTGAGGAGCGACGAGCTGGTCGTGGAGATGGACGAGATACATTACGCCATGACGTTTCGATCGTCCGACGGAGACGATCAGTCGATGAAACGGCTCGAGGCCAAGATACGCAACGTCAGCGACATCGAGAGGTGCGCGGCTCGTCTGCTGGATCGCAGGCGCCACGGCGAGGACGTCAAGGTCGGCTGCCTCATGGACAGATCCGCGGCCTGGATGCAGCTGCGTCGTCTGCAGGCCTCGAGCACCACAGTGCGAATGCGCGTAATAGAGCCGGCACTGTGGAGCGCACCCAAGGGTCTGCTCTTCGCCGAGGCGTCGCCCTACCTGCGCGAGGCCAGGAGGATACTGAGGTGGGTGATGGAGGCGGGCTTCGATCGACGCTGGTGGAGGTCGTTGCCGCCGCCAACGGTCGACGGGCGCGGGGAGGAAAACGACGACGACGACGTGTACAGCTCGATCATCAGGAGTAAAAAATCCGACGATCGCTTTTTGTTGAACAAGTTGGCGATCGTCTGGTGTTACGGCGTGTCGCTGGCCGGCTCGGCGTTCGCCAGCGAGCTCATCGTCTGGAGCGTCGATCGACTGCTCAAGAGGATACGCAGCGATGCGCGCAAGTAAAACTGCCGCTTTATAAGATCATTGTTGTAGTGTCGTGTGTGGACCGCGAGTCGATAAAGGCGAAATGCTGCGTACAGCCGCAGCAACATCTGTCGGCCGTGCACTCAAGTAAACGTCGAGATGCGGTGGTTTCTCGGTAGTAGTCTCTCCCCGACTCCGCCGCTCTCGCTTTGTTTATAACCTGTACGCGGCGGCTCGCGACTCGGCTTTATCCGTTTTGGTTTTTACTGCACCACGATGAGAGTAATATTAAAAACACAGAGTGATAAGTAACGGTATTGGGTGTTTGCGTGGTTAGGGATTTCGAGCTGCGTTCGACGTTAATTGCGCAGTGCGATAAATCGAACTCCAATCGTATAATGACAGACGCAGTCGGCGGCAGTCGGTGCTGCGCCGCCCGGCACTGCAAAACAAACGAGGAAACTCTTGTCAACGAAGCAAAGGCACGGCTGTTCGAATTCCCGACTGACCCCGAGTGAGTTTTTGCTATCTATCATATTTTTCTTTCTCTTTTACGGCGATACGCCAAATTGTTTGTGTCATGTTTCGTTAGATATAAACGCGCGATGTTGTGTTTACTTTTGCAGATTGAGGCAGAAGTGGAAAAGCGTGTGCAACATCGATGTCGGCGAAACTCCCCTTTTGTGCGAGCTTCACTTTTCTCAAAGCTGCTTCGACGATGAAAAACAGTTGAGGCCAGATGCAGTTCCTGCAACTCCTGGTAATGCAATTAATTTTGCTTTTTATTGATAAAAAAATTTTCCTGACAATGATTTATTTACACAGTTTTAAAGCGTAAAATAGATAGCGTGTCCAATGACGATGGTCCCTGTCAGAAAAAAGCAGCTCCAGACAATCAGAGACCGTTGCTAGAAGTAAGCTATCCTTGCAATGTAAGTTTATTCATAATTATTAAAAATATTTTAATTTGAATTTTCAATACAATTCTGTAATTGGTTTGTTTAATTTGTTGCAGTCTGCGCTGAATGGTTCCAAGCCTCCTCCAAAAAAAGTGCCATCGAAAAATGCCTTTCGTCTTACCATTCAAATTGACAAATTTCCAAAAGGAGAACGTCCACAGAATGTAGAGCAAAATGAGCCTTTATGTTTGACATGCAATGAAATTCTACCAAATTTACAAGATTTGTATACTCATGTTATGCAACATTTTACGTGTGATTTGTGTCATGCATTGTTTACATTGAGAAAATCTTTACAAAAGCACAGAAAATTGCATGAGAACAATAGTGAGCAATTTCCATTCAAATGCCTCAAGTGCGATCAAGCTTTTGTATCAGAAGATGATATTAGAAAACATAAACATCCAGAAATTCTTGATGACGAGCCTCCAAGACCTTGCAGATATCTTTGCAAGAAATGTCAAGTACTGTTCAAAACAAAACTTGACTATGACAAACATTATGTAGACACACATGCAGCTAAAAAGGTTAAAAAAACTGCCAAAGAATAGTAATTATTGAAATAATAATTAGAAATTCTAAAAATATTTATTTAACTGTGAATTATAAATATTTTTATAACTAGCATAAATTATTTGAGCTTTATGAAATTTGCAACAAGAATTCATAGCTAATATGAATTATTGATTGAACGAAAATGTAAATTTCTAACTTACCATTAGTATGTAAGAATGTGATTACTATTTTTATAATTAAAAAATATTTTCTAGTAAATACAATAAGTTAGTAGGTCAAAAGAAATGTTTTAATTTTTAAAATTTTCATATGCTCTTGAAATATTTTCTCATTATTCAAATTGAAAACAATATATTATATTTCGATTATATCTTGATTATCTTTACTTCAAATCTATTACTTTTTTTTTTTAATTCAAACGTTTATTTTTTTTTTAAGTGATAATGCAATGATATAGTTTATGAGAAATGAAAATTAATGTTCCGTTGAATTATATTCAAAGAAATAATGTACAGTATTTGTAAGCTCTCTTCATTCCTTCACACACACAAAAAAATTCAATTAAGCTACAAAAGAAGTATTAATGATTATAGAATTCGGTTTTGTTGACACAAAACAAACTTGGCGCATATCATTAAAAATTTTCATTCTGTTAACAAAAATAATATTGATAAAATTGTATATCTATAATTGTCGAAAGTACAAAACTCTTTTATAATCAAGAATACTGTAAACAAATTTTTTTGTGTACTTGTTAAATATTGATGAAAAAATAAAATGCTCTCTCGTAAGCAATAAGTATAATTAATTTGGCATTGCAATGTATCATTCAGCCCCGTCAAACAATTTTCAATTCTCGCTTGCTTTGGAATGTATTATTCAACTTTATCAATCAAGAGTCTCGATTCTCGATAAAAAAAAAAAAAATAATAACACGTTCTCTCGTAAAAAAAATTATTACCTTCAACTCAGCTTTGGAATAATATATCATTCAATCTCGTCAAACAAAATGGAAATGAAGCGAAGTTGGGGGGGAAGAGAAGGGGAATGGGGCCGAGGGTTGATCCAAAGTTCTTCCCCCAAAAAGTGATATTTTTATGTCGGCACGCATTAGGCCCCGCCTCTGATGAACCATTCCCTGCATGCCATGCCTGCCTGGCTTCGTGCATCGTGCGGGACGCTCGTCTTGTATTTATCTCGTACGTACACATTCACCCAATTGTGAGGATGAAGTTGTTACTCGCATTGACTTCTTTGAGTAGTATAGCCAAGACGCGATGATATTTGGAAATCCGATTAACGAATATAAGAGAGACGCGCGTGCGGCGGGGGAGGAGGATCGCGATTCGTCAGGCGTGTGCGCCGCTCGGCAAAGTGTTACTTTTTTCCTTAATCGGCGTGAGATTGTCGTGGCGATGACGAAGAAAGGTCGATGCTTTTTTTTTCTATTTTCGTTCGTTGTTGTCCATTGTCGCGCTAGACCTGATCGCGACTGCAGAAGACTATCGGAGAAAAGGATTCGGAAGATTAATCGATTTCAGCGCGAAAAACTCCGCCTCCAAAAAAAAAGAGCGACATTGTATGGGCCAGAGATTGTTTGCCCATGTATGACTCATCATTAAATTAGTTACCGCGATGATTTCGTGTCTTTTTCCCTTTTTCTTTATGGTTGGATAGATCTGATTGGTTTGACGAAATTACGTTTTTATTTTAGGATTGCTTCATTGACTCAAAAATGCCATTTGTAAAATTTAAAATCTCTCGATATATATCTCTAAATGTGTATTGAAATTATTTAATCGTTTAAATTTTGCCCTCAAAGTAAGTACACATCTTGACAAAAAAATTGGTATGTCTAGTTTTAGTACATATAATATAATCTTTGATCCAACATCGTGATTCATACACGATATAATCTACGAAGCCATCCCAGAGTTGATGTCTTACTTTACAGCCCCATTGACTGCAGCATTTACGATTTGTATACCTACGTACTCGTAGCGGGACAAAAAAAAAATGTTAAAAGTCAATAGTCCGAAATATAGTTATTGCGAGCAGTAGTAGCACACGGTAGCGTCCCGTCGGCACGATTAGCTTATATGTATTATAGCCATCGTATAGTACGCACACACAAACTTCTGTACATGATCCGCGTGTGTAACAAGTCCGCGCGACAAAGGATCGACGTGTACATATAATGCGCGAGGTTCTCACCGCAAGACGCGACAAAGATGCCGATGATTCTCTCTGTATGCTCCTTTTCAGTGTGTATACATACTTTTGTGGGTGGACAGAGAGAGAAACAGAGAGCGAGTAACACTGGTAGCGAAAATAACTTTAGTCTACACCCTCGTACACGCTGCCGATATTATATCGATCTCTAACGTAAATTATAATGAACCAAGTGCCTTTATATTTATCAAACTTATCCATTTTGATCGCGTGATTGCCGTTCACTCAATCATCGACACCTGGCGTTTCACGCAGTAACAGCGTAAGCGATGGCAAATATTATCAACGCACATTAAAAGGATACCTGAAAAGTAATATTGAAAAAATATTCATTCATCGGAGCATCATTGTATTAAACATTATCGTTAGATTTCATAAAAGTATGAAGAATCGTAAAATCTTTTAGAAAATAAACTGTTATGAAAATGACAGGACTAAAATAAGTTGACCCATTTTAGAAAATTTGCGTATGGATAATCAGTGGCATATAAAAATAATTGCTGCCCCACACGAACTATTATTTACCAATCAATTATAAGGAAGTTGATTTTTGAAAACTCGTAAAATCAAAGTCGAGGCTTTGATGTAAGATTGTGAATTTATTAAAGACTAAGAAAAAAGATTGGATAATCTAGTAAGCGACTAAAAATTTAAAAATATGTAGGAAATACTTGCTGATTCAAATCAAATTATTAAATGGCTTCCATGTTGGTTTTTTTAGTAATGACATATTTTCATTTTCGATCATGGCTCTTTTGGTAGCCCATAAACGTCATTTCTTAACGTTTATATAAGGTTCAGTAATCAACCAAGCAAGAAAAGAAAATCAAAAAAGGTAAAGTGATAGTTGATAGCATGAAGTTCAAATAAAATACAAACGTACTAGCATGATTTTTATTCAAACATAGAAAAATATATTGATAGGTATCTATATTATATTTACAATTGTCAAGAAGTGAAAATCAGCACTTTTCATTATTTCAATGACGAAATGCACTCTATTCTATCAAGAGCTAATACTAATAAGCTTGAGAAATTCGTATAATTTTCTGAACTTGATCCAAAATAATTTAAGAGTCAATATATTCTTAAATTTACTACTCAACGCTTCCCACGGAGAGTAACAGGTTTCCATTTAAATTAACACATAAACGTGTTACTCTTCGTGGGGAACGTCGTATTGGTACTCATTACGTACCTCATATTTTTCGATAAGTTTGAAATTGATGTTTTTTCACATTTGTTGCTAGCAAAATCTTAATCATCTTCGTGTGTCGTCCTTTGGTGCATAAACAAGTTCGACTTTAGTCAAAATTTTTTATCGAACTCGTCGCATTCGAAATCTTTGCGGCCTTCGTGTACCGTCTTTTGGTAACGGAGAGAACTTGATTTCTGTCTAAATTTCTTCTCGCCATTTCTGCGACCCTCATGTACTGTCTTCAGGTGGGTGAGCAAATTACATTTATGTGCAAATTTTCGATCGCACTTGTCGCACGCATGATCTCTGAGTCCTCCGTGAATGACTGTTTGGTGTCTTCTTAAATTGTGTTGAAGCTTAAATTTTAACTCGCACTCATCACATGCGTAATCTTTTCGATCGTCATGGACTGACTTTTGGTGGAACATTAAATGCTGTTTTATTCCAAATTTCTTCTCGCACTTGTCGCACGTGTAATCTTTTCGACCCTCATGGACTGTCCTTTGGTGGTAGAGCAAACTTGGTTTATGTGAAAATTTCTTTTCACACTTGTCACATACGTAATCTTTGCGACGCTCATGGGCTGTCTTTTGGTGGTAAAGCAAATTCGGTTTATGTGTAAATGTTTTCTCACACCTGTCACATGCAAAATCTTTTCTACCTTCGTGGACTGTGTTATTATGCCTAATCAATTTATACTTGGCTCCAAATTTCTTGTCACACTTGTCGCATGTGTAATCCTTGCGACCTCCATGTACGGTGTTCTGGTGGGTGAGCAAATGCCATTTGTGTCCAAATGTCTTATCGCAGTCATCGCATGCAAAATCTTTACGACCTTCATGGACTGTCTTTTGGTGTCTCATCAAATCTGATTTACATCCAAATATCTTCTCACACCTGTCGCACGCGAAATCTTTGCGACCTTCGTGAACTGTATTTTGGTGTCTGAGTAAATGCGAATATCGTTCACACTTTTTCTCGCATTTGTGACAGGCAAAAACTTTTCGACCTTCATGTACTGTTTTTTGGTGCATGAACAAATGCGATTTTTTTCCAGCTTTGTTTTCCGATTTGTCGTATGTGTGATCTTTGAGACTCTCGTGGTCTGTCTTTACATGTTTGAGCAAACTCCGTTTATTTCCAAATCTCTTTGCGCACCTTTCACATAAGTAATCTTTAAAAACTTCATGGAATATTTTTTTGTGCTTGAGTAAACTTGATTTATTTTCAAATTTCCTCTCACACTTGCCACACATTAAGTTTTCGCGATCTTTATGTGCCAATTTTTGGTGCGTAAAAAAACTCGATTTTTTCACAAATTTCTTCTCACTCTGGTCGCATGCAAAATCATTACGGCTTTTGTGTTCTGATATTTGGTGTCTACTCAAATGACTCCGGAACTCAAATTTCTCTTCGCACTTGTCACAAGCGTAATCTTTTCGTTCATGGTGAATTGTGTCTCGGTGTGCTATCATACTTAACTCTAGTGCAAATGCCTCTTGACAAATATCACAAACGAATTTTTTTTCGTTTTCACTTACATTATCGTTCGAGACAATTTCCTCGGTTCTCTTTTCACTTTTATCCATTTTGGTACGTAAATTAAACGACGGATCCTTCTATTTAGTGTTTCATCTGGAAAGACAACATTCAAACTAATTTGAATTAACTGTTAACACGATCAGTGTGTTGAGGAACAATGTCAAAGTCGTTTCTAATCATATTATTTTCAATCAAGTTTCCGCTTCATCTGTTTGTACATTGCCTTCCAAATTTGAACCAGTTCTAATTTCAGTTAACGCGATAGAAGAGAATTTATTTTTAAGTTTTATTGTCACTTTTCCAAAGCGTTTGGATCTGTAGAAGAATTGAAGTCATGTGAGAATTTTTTATTTAAAAAAGAACAAAACACGTAGTTATCAAATCTTACTGAATTTTTTCGTGGAAATGGCGAAAGTTGAAAGTGTATCAAATCGGATTACTCGTCAACTGTCTCCTAATCATTTTCAATAAACGACTCGTCACGAGGTCCCTCTTTAACCGTGAAATAAGTCATGACGTTTACAAAAAGTCCAGTAGTCAACTAAATAAAAAAAAATCAAAAAAGGTAAAATGATAGTTGATAGCATGAAGTTCAAATCGTTCGTTCTGGCATGATTTTTATTCAAACATAGAAAAGTATCTCGATAGGTACCGATATTATATTAACAATTGTCAAAAAGAAAATCAGCGCTTTTCATTATTACACTGACGAAATGCACTCTATTCTGCCAAGAGCTATTACTAATAAGCTCGAAACAATCATATAAGCATAAAAATAATACATAAAAATTGGATTATAATCTGATGTAAATTTTTAATAATTAAAAAATGCTGTGGTAAGATTTGATAGTTAATAGCAAAGCAAACCATTGCAATAAAATTATATTATCATGATAAACATGGTTATTAAACATGGTTAGATCATATAATTATGTAAAATAAGATTAGACAAAAAAAACTTTTCTGAACTTGATATAAAATAAATCAAGAGTCAATAAATTCTCAAATTAATTACTATTAGTTCTCACTGTGTAGAAAACCTCATATTTTTCGATAGGTTTGAGGACTTGATGTCTTCTCACATTTGTCGTGTGCTAAATTTTAATGGTCTTTGTGTCTGGTCCTTTGGTGCACAAATAAGTTCGATTTTCGTGCAAATTTCTTATCGCATTTTTCGCATGCATAATCTTTACGACCTTCGTGTACTGTCTTCAGGTGGGTGAGCAAATTACGTTTATAAAGAATTTTTAGATCGCATTTATCGCATGCAAAATCTTTGCGACCTTCGTGTACTGTTTTTTGGTGCTGTAACAAATGCTTTTTGTGGCCAAATGCCTTCTCGCACTTGTCGCATGCGTAATCTTTGCGACCCTCATGGACTGTCTTTTGGTGCTGAATCATAATCCATTTTTTTCCAAATACCTTCTCACACTCGTCGCAAGTGTAATCTTTGAGACCTTCGTGTACTGTCTTTTGGTGCTGTAACAAATACCTTTTGCGACCAAATGCCTTCTCGCACTTGTCGCATGTGAAATCTTTGCGACCCTCATGTACTGTCTTTTGGTGGGAGAGTAAATCCCACTTTCTTCCAAATTTCTTCTCACACTCGTCGCAAGTGTAATCATTGAGACCCTCGTGTCCTGTCCTTTGGTGGTAGAGCAAACTTGGTTTATGTGAAAATTTCTTTCCACACTTGTCACATGCGTAATCTTTGCGACGTTCGTGGACTGTTTTTTGGTGTCTGAGCAAATCCGATTTTTGTCCAAATTTCTTTTCGCACTTTTCACATGAGTAAACTTTGCGACCCTCATGGACTGTCTTTTTGTGGTACAGCAAATTCTGTTTTTGTGCAAATGTTTTCTCACACTCGTCACATGCGTATTCTTCGCGACATTCGTGTACCGTTTTTTGATGATCGAGTAAAATCCGTTTACTAGTAAATTTCTTTTCACATTTTTCGCATGCAAAATCTTTCCGACCTTCATGTACTATTTTCAAGTGAGTTAGCAAATTTGATTTTTGTCCAAATTTCTTCTCGCATTTTTCACATGCGTAATCTTTGCGACCATCATGGACTGTCCTTTGATGTTTTCTCAAATTGCTTCGTTCCCCAAATTTCTTCTCGCACTTGTCGCATAAGTAGTCTTTGTGACTCTCATGAACGGTTTTTTGGTGCTTTAATAAATGCCCTTTGTGGCCAAATTTTTTTTCGCAATTGACGCATGCGTAATCTTTGCGACCTTCGTGGACTGTTTTTTGGTGCTGAATCATAACCCATTTTTGTCCAAATACCTTCTCGCATTTGTCGCATGTGTAATCTTTACGATTTTTGTGTACTGTCATTTGGTGAGAGAGCAAATTCCATTTATATCCAAATTTCTTCTCGCACTGGTCGCAAGCAAAATCTTTGCAACCTTTGTGTACGATCCTTCGGTGTCTCATCAAATTTGATTTACGTCCAAATATCTTCTCACACCTGTCGCACGCGAAATCTTTGCGATCTTCGTGAACTGTATTTTGGTGTCTGAGCAAATGCGAATTTCGTCCAAACTTTTTCTCGCATTTGTGACAGGCAAAAACTTTTCGACCTTCATGTACTGTTTTTTGGTGCATGAGCAAATGCGGTTTTTTTCCAACTTTTTTTTCCGACTTGTCGTATACGCGATCTTTGTTATTCCCATGGGCTGTCTTTACATGTATGAGTAAACTCCGTTTATTTCCAAATCTCTTGGCACACTTTTCGCATAAATAATCTTTGAAAACTTCATGAAATATTTTGTTGTGCTTGAGTAAAGTTGATTTATTCTCAAATTTCTTCTCGCACTTGTTGCAAGTGAAATCATTGCGATTCTTGTGTGCTAATTTTTGATGAGTAAGCAAAGTCGATTTTCTCACAAATTTTTTCTCGCATCTGTCACATGCAAAATCGTGGGGACCTTTGTGTACCGATATTTGGTGTCTACTCAAATGACTTCGGAAATCAAATTTCTGTTCGCACTTGTCGCATGAGAAATCATTTTGTTCATGACGAATTGTGTCTCTGAGGGTTATCATGCTCGATTCTAATGTAAATGCCTCCTGACTAGTGTCAGCAGGGTATTTTTTGTCGTCTGAAACAACAATGTCGCGTTCACTTAAATTATCCTTTGAGACAACGTCCTCGGTTCTCTTTTCACTTTTATCCATTTTGGTACGTAAATTAAACGGCGGATCCTTCTATTTAGTGTTTCATCTGGAAAGACAACATTCAAACTAATTTGAATTAAGTGTAAACATGATAAGTTTGTCGAGGAACTATATCAAAATCATTTCTAATCATATTATTTACAATCAAATTTCCGATTGATGTGTTTATAAATTGCCTTTCAAATTTGAACCAGTTTCAATTTCAGTTAATTCGATAGAAGAGAAGTAAGGCTTTAATTTAAGATTATGGTTTCAATTTCATAGTGCTCAATGTACGGCAGCCATTGTAATTTTTAAAAGCACCGATTTTTCAGATCGATGCAGCGAACGATGATTTTTTAAACATATAGAATCCATCCAATTCACGCAAACGAGTCTTAATCGGCTAAGTATGCAAATGATCGATGATATAATTAGTTCTAAACGCATCTTATACTTTGGCTACAACCAATCGCAACGCGACTTCCCATATTCTCCGGCGCTTCTCCGACGTATCTCATCCTGATTTTTTAATGATACATAAGTGGCTCATCGAGTATCCGCCCACTCGTACAATACGAGTATATATTTACCTATATTTACCTTTCACCGCACACGCACACACGCGTGCTCATTGCGTCAACAGCTATACAATACAACTCCAACTCCGTAAGCGATATCTCCATTATTTCGAGCGCAGTGCTCGAAAGTCGAGACCTCGACGATAGACGCCCGAGGCCGGTATAAATACACACACGCACACCCGAAATGATAATTCGTTCAGCTTTGCATTTGACGCGCCTCTCTCTCTGCACGTTTATATATATAGTACCTTACCTATAATATATAAAAGGATCGTTAACGCGGGCCCGTGTCTAATTTGACTCGACGCGAGCGAAATTCAATATGCCTGCGCCGGGCTTTGGTGGTGGTCGGGGCTGCTGCTGCTCTCTTGCGAGTCGCATCTTTATACGTAATAATAATGCCGGGTCGAGGAGTCGAGGCCCAGAAAAGAAGCGTATAACTTACCGTATCTAAATATCTCTCTCTCTCTCTCTTTTCTCAAACGATGAACTCTCGAAGGCATATATCTATTCAATTGTGCAGAGCTTAATAGGCTCTTCATATTACTATTACCCGAGAGAGCCTCGCGCGGAGGTTTGCCGCTCGCGTGAATGAAAACGTCTTGGTTGACGCGCGAAATAAAGCAAAATATATAATTTATATATAAGAATTGCGGATATCGAGCCCTCTGTGGTAGCAGCTGCACGCGCGCCCGCACTATTGCGCCGATAAAGAAGGACGATTTTTTCGATCGATCTTGAATTATTGCAAACTCTCATCTCTATAGGCTACGATACTTCCTTATCCTTTTGTAAACGATTATCGAACTGGTTAGGATCAACAGAGGCAGATATGTTTTTTTTTTCATTTTAAAACTATGAGTAAAGAGTACCGAAAATTCATTAATAAAATGCAAAAGTAAAAATAAAAAATGTTCCCACAATCGCGCCCGTATGTATACCGTAGCTTTGTACATCCAAGCCGCATCGAGTATAAAACCGATCGATCGACGACATACCGCAATATTTATTTTACACTGTATATATTATGTACAGCCGACTACGACGGGTCACCCCTATAGGCCGTGACTAGATGCGGCACACGCTCATATATATAGTACAATATCCGTTGCCTCTCTTATCCTCATACGTATACGAGAGAAACCTCGGGAATCAATATGACGAAGTCAACGTTTATATAATAATGATAATAATAATAATAATATATAAATCGAAGACGCCGAAAAAGTGTCGCGCATACACATATATAGCGCGCACACAGCTCGGACAGACAGACAATGCAATAGAGAGAGAAGAGAATCTCTGCGCGTCGCTACTCGACAGAGAGAGCTGCAATTTGACTTTTGACTCGAAGGACGTCTATCTCTCTCTCTCTGTCTTTCGGTATATATACATGGGATATGCAAGGGGCCATCTGCCCCCGGAGCAGCAGCATAAATGGGCGTCATCGCCGCTCGCGCGCAAGGCAGCAGCAACACTTGCACTTTATAACTAAGAGGATCCACTCGTGTGGAAAGGACCTGATTAATGGCAGGCCTTTGTGCGGCACAATGTAACGAGTGTCTCTCTCCGCTGCTGCTGCTACGTACGCCGCGCGTTGACTGCTGATGCTACCGCTTCCACTGCCATTCGGAGGGTTGAAGAAGGTTTAATAAAAATAATAATAATAACAATAATCTCGCTCGTCGACACTTTTTTTTTTCTTCTTACTACTTCTTTTGCCTTTTTTCCCTTGTGGCTGTGTGTGTGTGCAAGCGCGCGCCACGCGAGAGGATCGTTGCCGCGCCGCATATTGCGGTTTGTGAATCGCTCACGATCGTTCGAGCGTTATGGCTTTTTTTTCCACTCGTCGGGGTTTGTCTGCAAAACCCCGAAAGAGAAAGAGAGAGCGAAAGCGGCGAGAGAGCGACACGACGCCTAATGACATGTAATCGCTTTGTGTGCCCTATAAGCTCTTACTCTCTCTCCTACGATTTTTTTCTTCTTCTGCTTCTTCCTCCCTCTTTTCGCTACACTGCATTTCGAGGTGTAGCACAAGAATCGAGAGGCGAAAATTTGTTGACGACTAATATCGCGATGTACGCAGTGTACGCACGTATACGTATATGGCCTATATAAGCCATGAAAGCACAATGAGCGAGTTTTACGATTTTTTTTTCTTCGTCTTCTTCGTGGCTGCTCTCGCGCGCGCGCGAGCCTGCGAATACAAATCGTTATATGCGTGTTACGTTTGATTCTATACTCGTGTATCGGACAATCGACACTTTCGTGATGCGATGTCGGAGGAATGGGATTTAGGTATATACGAATTTATTGACGACTATGCGCGCGCGAGATGATGCCGATTTTCTATCATTTTTTACGAGCTGTGTTTTTTATGTGCCCATATAGTTTGATTTGATGGCCCACGCAACAGATCTCGGCGATAAATGTATCGGTCTATACTTTTTACTCGGAGTTTTAAGGTGGTGGTCGAGCGCTGCTAAGTTTTCTGTTGACTTTAATGGAATATCATGATTACCGTATAAATTTTAACTGACTAAAAGTGACATTTAGTAGTAATTGAAAGTATCATCTCTGTAAAGTTTTTATTAACAAATCTATTTTTCTATGAAAAACTCCACGAATTTTATTGTGAAGATGTGAAGCCCGATACGGACTTATGAATAGTTAAAACAATTGATGACGTTTCTCAAATAACTTGTGGAGTATAAAAAATAGCGATAAACAAAATCTAAATATAATTTAAATGAAGTCTAATGGGTAAGTACATAATGATACAACCCACGCATATGAAATATGCGGAAAGAGATTGTCAAGTGATAGTCTTAAAAAACATATCGACGAAGTCCATGATGGTATCACTCATACATTGTGGCGGATTACAGAGCACGTCAACCACGCCATGCCATTGGGGGGTGTCAATGGATAGGGGCAAAAAGTTTTGGAATGAATATCAAACTTTTTTTATAATTAATAATCGCCGATAATATCGACTCGATATAATACAGAACTTTTTGGATAAATGCTAAGTTTTGAGAAATCAGAAAAATATCTCGAAGAAATAGACGCCTAAGTTAGAATTTTTAAACTAGTTCAAATACTGCAAGAAGCATGTGTAAACAGATAAATCGGTAATTTATTTGTAAACAGTATGATCATAAACGACTTTGACATAGCGCCTCAACACACTGATGATTGTGTTTATGGTAAAAACAAATTAGTTTGAATTTGTCTTTCCCAATGATCCAAGCCATAATATTAAAAGATAAATTTTACTTGATCAATTTCCGTAGCACCATCGTTTATTGTAGGCACCAATATGAATGAAAGTGAAAAGAAATCTGCTGATGTTGTCTCGGAAAATAATTTAAGTGAAGAAGATATTGTTGTTTCAGACGACAAAAAATACGTTCATGATATTTGCCAGGCACCAATTACTCTAGAATCCAGCATGACAACCGGCCAAGAAACAATTCACAATGACCGAAAAGATTACTTGTGCGACAAGTGCGAAAAGAAATTCCAGTTCCGAAGTCATTTGAGTAGACACCAAATATCAGAACACAAAAGCCTCAAAGATTTTCCATGCGATCAATGCGAGAAAAAATTCGTGAGAAAATCGACTTTGCTTACTCATCAAAAATTAGCACACAAGAATCGCAATGATTTCACTTGCAACAAGTGCGAGAAGAAATTTGAGAATAAATCAATTTTACTGAAGCACAAAAAAATATTCCATGAAATTTTCAAAGACTACTTATGTGAAAAGTGCGCCAAAAGATTTGGAAATAAACGAAGTTTGCTCTTGCACATAATGACAGTACACAACAAGCGTGAGAAGAAAATTGGACAAAAACTGAAATTGATGAGACACCAAAGGACAATACATGAAGGTCGCAAAAATTTTGCATGTAACAAGTGCGAAAAGAAATTTGGGCAGTTATCGCATTTGCTCCGCCACCAAAAGACAGTACACGATGGTCGGAGAGATTACGTATGTGATATATATGAAAAGAAATTTGCAGAAAAATCGAAATTGCTTCTCCACCAAAAGAAATTACACGAAAGTCAAAAAGATTACGCATGTGACAAGTGTGATAAGAAATTTACAGAAAAAAAAAATTTGAATAAGCACCAAAAGATAGTCCATGAAGGTCGTAAAGATTTCGCATGTGACCAATGTGATAAGAAATTTGGAAGAAAAGCAGATTTGTTGAATCACCAAAAAACAGTCCACGAAGGTCGCAAAGATTACGCATGTGACAAATGCCAGAAGAAATTTGGACAAAAATCAAATTTGCTAACTCACTTGAAAATAGTACATGAAGGTCGCCAAGATTATACATGCGACAAGTGCGAGAAACGATTCGGACAAAAATCACATTTGCTCGACCACCAAAAAAATATACACGAAGGCAGCAAAGATTACGCATGCAATAAGTGCGTGGAGAAATTTAGAGTAAAGTCGCATTTGTTAATCCATCAAAAAACAGTACATGAGGGTCAACAGTATTTCGCATGTAATGAATGTCAGAAGAAATTTACACAAAAATCGAATTTGTTTGTCCATCAAAGAACGATCCATGAGGGTCGCAAAGATTTTGCATGCGACAAGTGCGAGAAAAAATTCGGACAGGTATCGAATTTGTTCAACCACCAAAAAACAATACACGATGGACGTTAAGATTATGCATGCGCCAAATGCTACAAAAAGTATGAGCAAAAATCAAATTTGTTCATGCACATAAAAATAGTCTATGAAAGTCACAAAGACTATAGACGTGACAAATTCGATTCTTTTGAAAGGTGAATATGAGAAGTATATTCTAGAATATATTGATTCTTGAAATATTTCAGACGAAGTTCAAAAAATTTTCATTTGAGCAAATTCACGAAATCTCAAAAAATTATTCAAGCGCTTTTTCTCATACAATGCACAATTGCATTTAATTTCATATCAGATCATTTTAAAGAACAATATATTGCTTATACGAATGTCACGAAGTTATTGGAGTTATACGCTTCGAAATATATCGTTCGTAAGAAGATAGAAGTACATATCTCGTCGGTGAAATAATGAAAAGTGCTGCCTTTTTCTTTACAATTGTAATTCATTTTTTTAAGTATAACTTTTCAATAAAACAATATTTTTCCCATAACTGTATTATAATTGTTTTGTGTATACTTTGATTGACCGAGTTTGAATCTTTTACAGCATAACATAGAAATTTGTTTTATCGTTGTAATGTGTCATATCGTCACTAAAAATGAGCTCGTGAAATTAACAACACCATTCCATTCTACGGAAAAAATCCCGACAAAATACATGTTTAGAAAGTTTCTGGGATACTTATATTTATTTGCATATAACCGAGAATCGCGATTTTCGATTTTATCGTTAATAAAACCACGAATAAAAAATGTTCACAAATTATGTAGTTTAAACATATCTCCGTTTTTTTTCATATTCTAATTAATAATACAAATTTTTCGATTTTTTACGTTTTGAAATTTAGGATAATGGCATTAATAAAACATTATACAAAAGCTGGCAACTTATGCAGCTACTTAATGTTAGCTGCCATTTTCATACTAAAAAGAAAACTTTAAAAATCTATCGACACGTGTAACTATCACTTTTTCGAATTTATCCCAAAATAAAACTTAGTTTCAAACTATAAACTGTAAGGTTAAGAATAAGTGGACCATCCTAATATTCAAGTACGAGTTTTTCTAAAATTTTAATAAAATTTGAATTAAGAATTCTAATCTGGTTCAAATATTGTAAGGAGAATGTATGAACAGATGAATCGATAATTTACTTGTAAACAACATGATCGTAAACGACTTTGACATAGTCCCTCAACATACTTATCTACGGCGAAAACAAATTAGTTTGAATTTATCTGTCTCGATCATACAAGCAATAATATTACAAAATAAATTTTGCTCGTTAATTTCTGCAGCACTAAATAGAAAGATCCATCGTTTCTTTTATGCACCAATATGAATAAAAGTGAAGAGAAATCTGCTGATGTTGTCTCGGGAAATAATTTAAGTGAACATGACATTGTTGTTTCAGATGAAAAACAATATGTTAGTGATATTTTTCAGGAGGCATTTACACTAGAATCGAGCATGATAATCCACCGAGATACAATTGACAATGAACGAAAAGATTACTCGTGCGACAAGTGTGAAAAGAAATTTGAGTTCCGAAGTCATTTAAGTAGACACCAAATATCAGAACACAAAAGCGTTAAAGATTTTCCATGCGACCAATGCGAGAAAAAATTTATAAGAAAATCGAGTTTGCTTGCTCATCAAAAATTAGCACACAAGAATCGCAATGATTTCACTTGCAACAAGTGCGAGAAGAAATTTGAAAATAAATCAATTTTACTAAAGCACAAAAAAATATTTCATGAAGTTTTCAAAGATTACTTATGTGAAAAGTGCGCCAAAAGATTTGGAAATAAACATAGTTTGCTCAAGCACGTTAAGAGTGTCCATGAGGGTCGCGAAGATGAGAATGGTAGGAGATTCGGATACAAACAAAATATGCTCTTTTACGGAATGACAGTACACAAAGGTCGAAAAGATTTTGCATGTAACAAGTGCGAGAGGAAATTTGGGAAGTCATCTCATTTGCTTCGCCACCAAAAGACAGTACACGATGGTCGGAGAGATTACGTATGTGATAAATGTGAAAAGAAATTTGCAGAAAAATCGAAATTGCTTCTCCACCATAAGAAAGTACACGAAAGTCAAAAAGATTACGCATGTGGCAAATGCGAGAAGAAATTTAGGGATCAATGCAATTTGAAAAGACATCAAAAGACAATCCACGAAAATCGCAAAGATTTCGCATGCGATAATTGTGAGAAGAAATTTGGAAGAAAAGCAGATATGTTGAATCACCAAAAAACAGTCCACGAAGGTCGCAAAGATTATGGATGCGACAAATGCGAGAAGAAATTTGCACGAAAATCAGTTGTGTTGAATCACCAAAGGACAATCCACGAAGGTCGCAAAGATTTTACATGTGACAAATGCGAGAAGAAATTTGGACAAAAATCAAATTTGCTAAGTCACTTAAAAATAGTACACGAAGGTCGCCATTATACATGCGATAAGTGCGAGAAACGATTCGGACAAAAATCACATTTGCTCGACCACCAAAAAAAATTACACGAAGGCAGCAAAGATTACGCATGCAATAGGTGCAAGGAGAAATTTAGAATAAAGTCGTATTTGCTATTCCACCAAAAAACAGTACATGAGGGTCACCAATATTTCGCATGTAATGAATGTCAGAAAAAATTTACAGTAAAATCGAATTTGTTTACCCATCACAGGACGATCCATGAAGGTCGCAAAGATTTCGCATGTAATAAATGTCAGAAAAAATTTAAACTCAAAGCGAATTTGCTTGTCCATCTAAGGACAGTCCATGAAGGTCGCAAAGATTTTGCGTGCAACAAGTGCGAGAAAACATTCGGACAGGTATCGAATTTGCTCAACCACCAAAAAACAATACACGATGGACGTTAAGATTATGCATGCGCCAAGTGCTACAAAAAGTATGAGCAAAAATCAAATTTGTTCATGCACATAAAAATAGTCTATGAAAATCACAAAGACTATAGACGTGACAAATTCGATTCTTTTGAATGGTGAATATGAGAAGTATATTCTAGAATAAATTGACTCTTGAAATATTTTGGATTAAGTTCAAAAAATTTTCATTTGAGCAAATTCACGAAATCTTAAAAAATTATTCAAGCGCTTTTTCTCATACAATGCGCAATTGCATTCAATTTCATATCAGATCATTTGAAAGAACAATTGATGGCTTATACGAATGTCACGAAGTCATTGGAGTCATACGCTTCGAAATATATCGTTCGTAAGAAGATAGAAGTACATATCTCATCAGTGAAATAATGAAAAGTGCTGCCTTTTTCTTGACAATTGTAATTTACATTTTTTTTAAATGTAATATATTTTTCGACTCTTTGAACAATTCTAAACAAAAAGTTTCTCTCGTCATTTTTTCGTCCGATGCATATGTAACGAATTAAAAATCGTTGAAAACTCGAAAGTAGCAGATTTGGATCGACTTGGCAAAATAACACAAAATTGTCCATAACTTTTTTTCTAATGAACCTATTTTAACTTTTGAAAATTCAATCTTTTTGTTTTTTCATGTAGAATAGAATGACAGAAAATTGTTGTAATTTATGTTGAATCGTTTTTGAGCTATGGCCGGTTCAACAATTAAATTATTAATAACAAAAAAACAACCACTCGGATCGATGTCCACCTCCGAAATTCGTGTTCAGCGGGAAAAAATACGAGGAAAACAACTTGGTTCAGCTTTCGGGATTCATTTTGAAGCGGGCACCTGTGTGGCTCCTAGACTAATCTATTCGGACGTAAGTCCCAAACCCGGGTATAAAAAAACCTCGTATAAGGAGGGACAACTGTATAACACTCGTAGGCAACTAATAATGTAACATATTGCTATTGAATAAAATGAATCAAGAAAAAAACTGATTTCAACTTATGGGGGAGTAGGGTCTTGAATAAATTTATTTATTTTTTTTGAACATATAGTAAATCGAATTGATCTATAAATCATACACATAATTAATAGTTATTTGAAGAATATTCAGTTAAATTTTCAGCGCACAATACTGAAAAATAAGCCGGCTACAGCAAATTTTCCCATGCAATGTAAAAAAAATCCGGTGGACACCATCACTCAAAATCTACTCGACCGATCCACTTCATATTTTATATTTTATTAAAGTAGATAATATGTGAGGTAATGACGTCGAGATAATTTAACTTTTTGCATTTTTAAATGCTTTTTGCGAACAAGTACGATGAATTTTTGCCTTCATTTTGTCAAAAAAGTCATTTTTTTCACTTCAAAATGATGACAAAACTCAAAAATTATTGTAAACGAAATATCATCATGTCATTACCTCATAATTTATGTAGATAAATAGTGAGAAAAATTTGGAAAGAATCGGTCGAGTAGATTTTCAGTTACAGTGTCCACCGCTATCGATCTTTTTTTTCAGTTGAGCGAAAAAATTTGCTGTAGTTAGCTTATTTTTCACTATTTTTAGCTGAAAATTGAACTGAATGTTCTTCAAATAACCATTTATAATGTATATAATTTATAGATAAATTCATTTTACTATGTGCTCAAAAACAATTATTATAATGCAACTCGAAAACCATCGAACAAGACCCTACCCCCCNCCCCCCCCCCCCCCCCCCTAAATAAAGAGGGAAACATTGAGTTGTAAAGAAAAGGTTGTGTAATATTTGGTAAAGAACGTGTTGCAATATTGGCTGATTATACAACAAGAAAAGGTATAAAAAAGCGTGGAGCATGGGTTGTCAGTGGTGTTCAACGTGAATGTGACATTTTAATTTTATACATTTTTCGTATCCCAAAAAGTTTGACTGCAATATGAGCATCAAATATTATTTAAAGAGTAAGATTTTGATTATACCAGCACCTTGAAATGGGCTAAAAATATGATTTTTAATCCAGCGAGCATCTCAAGCAAAAGTACATATGCTACAAATTTCAGTACTTCGTGCTAGTAAAACCTTGACATAATTTCTATTCAAATGGTTGTCATTTTTACGGTAATAATTTTTTCATTGTTTTCTTTTGTTTTGAAAATAAACGCTGTTGACATTATCCTTAAAGGTATTACTGTACAGCACGTATAAGAATTGAAAGCTAATATATAAAAGTAAACAATAAGCAAATTTCGAGTACACCGCACGCGTTAGAAGCTACAATTAAAGAAAACATTTTTCTCTTCGCTTTAAAACAACCTAGGCTCTCGATAAGATAATTCTATCTGCGAAAACGAATACATTTATACACAACAATATTCGTCAGTCAGTTCTCAGGAAGCTGCCGAAATAACGTGATACCCAAGTAAACGGATCCGATCAAAAAGATATGATCTTGAACGCTGGTTGTTGTCTATGAAAAATAATACTTGCGCTTAAGTATAATCGATATATCTAAACCCTATATAACGTGAAATGGACATGTGATAATGTGACCTATTTGCTGTTGACACATATTAACAGTTTTCAACATCAAAAAATAGCAAAACATTGAACAATTAGTGGTCATGGGGGTTTCACGTTTACATATAAATAAACTTTGAGTGATATTTTGTAGAGAACATGTTACAATATTGGCCGATTATTCAACCAGAAACCGTTACAGAAAGGGATCTAAAAGAGTTATCAGAAACAGATATATCAGATCTTGAAAAATGTGCAAAGAAGATTTACCCCTTGATTGTACTTTTTTTGAAGGCTTCATTTATATGGCCTTTTTGGACTGGCCTGAAAAAGTATGTGCTATGGGTATTATGTTTGTTACATATTTTTTTTTTTGTATCTACGGTAATTTAACAAAAAATCTTATATTTTACTTATGATAAACATTTAAGTTAGAATATAAATGAAACAGTTGTTATTTACAGTTTTTTTATACAGCTCGAGTAGTAAGAAACAACGAATTAGACATGAACTTAGCAATGGAATTATGTATTCAATGTCTTCTTCTAAATATTATAGTTTTTGGCTCGTACTTTACAATATTTGACAAACAAAACTACTTATTGGTAAAATAAATCACATACGCATACACTTTTATTTCATACTATCTTATGCGAAATTCGATTTCGAATTAATCGAAGTCTTTTTTTCTACATGATCGTGATACTTATAAAAGTTAATAGTAATGACGATCAGGAATTTGTTTCAATGTAGTTCCGAGGAAAGAAAATTTCTACAGTATTACATTAATTTATCTAATTTTGCATCTTACATAATCTCAGGTCAATTTTTTGATTATTATATTTGATAAATTTTACTAAATGAAGTCTTCAATTACTTTTTAGGTTTTTTATGTAGCGCCTATTCTATGTATTGTATTATAATTCCAGTCTTATTGCCAGTTACAGCAAATTTTATATTACCCGGAAATCATACATATGCAAAACAATTATCCGCTCACATTGAATTGTTCTTAGACGAAGAAATATACTTTTACAATTATTTTGTTATGATACTAATTACATGTTATACGGCACAAGTATTAATTTCAAGTTGGGGAATAATTTACGTATCGTCAGCCGCCTACCTGGTAGCCAAATTTAGATTTATGGGGTATTTCAATATCAAATTTTGTATACATTATATGTAAATATAAAAATAAAGTCGGGGTTTTCAATTAGATTCAAGTTGAAACAAATCTTGATTTTGTCTGAAGGAGAGGATTTTTTGGAAAAAAATGATGAAATTTTTAAACACGTCTCTCAACTAGTTCAATTACATCAATATTGTATCAAGTTAAGTGATAAAATTAAAATTTTTTTGGTTTATTATAATCATTTTTTTTATAATCAGTTACTGTGATGTATTAAATTCAATTACTAGTCGTATGTTCGGCTTGGGAACATTGCACACGATCATGGCCTTCGTCATTTCTGGATATGTGGTACGATTTGATTTCTTTTTATATGCCATTGAATTTTGACCTTTTATTACCCATGACTTAATTTTTTTGTAGATTGTAATGGAATATGAACGAGATAAAAATTTAGCTCTGAAAATGTTCTTTGTATACATCTTGTGCTCAGAGTTTTTATTGGTGACGAGTCATCCTTCGCAGATGATTTTTAATTCTAGCGGTGATATTTTTGAAACGTGGTAAGCATGCAAGTTTTCCTGAAACATTGCAATTAATTTGATTATGATAAATTTTTGGTTGTTTTCGTTAAAAATAGTTATTCTACTGATTGGTATAAATACTCAATAAAAACTAGAAAAATGATTCATCTAATTCTGATTAGGTCAAGTAGACCTTCCTGTATGAAAATTGGACCAAGCAAATATTCTAATTATGAAACGAGTGGTCAGGTAGCTAAAATGATAGTAGTAAACTACAATCTTAACCATAACCTATCGATGCAATTATTTTATATTCTAGCTCATACGATTATCTTTATCTTACATTGTTTCGCTGATGTCTATCAATGAACAGTAAATTGTACTCTTTGAAATGTAAATCAAGAAATAAACTGATATTAACATCAATTTAAAGTTGTGATAGTGCTTCATTCGTATTTTGAATTGCAGTGAAAAGCAGTCCAGCAAAAAGTATGCTGTGTATAATAAATATTACCATAGTTAAAGTTTAACTATACTTTTAATACAAAAATTTTTGGCATCAAGTACAACAAAATAGTACTTTACGATACTAGTGGCATCTTTGTCACGAGTATCGTACAACATTTTATAGCACTGTGCTAACTTCACATTTATGCCCCCTTTTCCGATGCATAAGTCGCACTTTCTGGTAACGCGAAGTGAGGTTAGCGCACGAGCGTACGCGAGTACGATGCGAACGCAGCGGTGCCAGAATGTGCGACTTATGCCACCGAAAAGCGTGCCATAAATGTGAACTTATACCACGAAATGCTATAAAATAGTATTAGATACATCAATTTCTTTACTGCCCTTAAAATAAAATCCATATACTTTTTCAGGTAATTATTTGAATTTAAGCTTCTTTCATTCTCTCACTTAGAAAGTATGAAGCTAACAAAAATATTTTGGAGTACAAGAACTTAAAATTAGTTTAAAAATATGCCTAATTTTTCTCGGAATAGCTTGGGTAATATTTACTTAGTTTAGATTTTTATTCCTGATATTTTACAGCACTTTAAAAAATATACGGAATCATTTCTGTTTAGAAGTAAACAGGTTAAAATATTTATGGTATTGACATATTGCAAGTTTTCTAAACTTTCTTATAAAAAGATATATTTTAGAATTGTATTATCGTGCCGCTGCATATTCTTACGCTTTTCAATCAATTAGGCCTTGGCTAAGTCCAACCTCCACCAGTCGTGAGTAAGTCAGTTGAGACCACATTGTATTATTTGTTTCGTATAATAATTTATTACTGTACTACCTTCAGCATGATTATTTATTTAGCATTCGTCTCAAATTGTGATACAGCTTTGCATCTTATTCGTAATTTATGGAACTGAATTGCATGGTGCTTTCAACGTAATAATATGTGGTCAAAGTTTACGGTTCAAATTTCTAATTTTTTCGACAATGATAAACAGAATCGTAACTATGAATATATTTACGAAAACTTTATCATTAATTGATCTTCTAACTGATGTAAATAAAAAAAAAAATTTCAGACCAATTACTCAGTTTCAGTTATCAGAAAGAAAACTTATAATTTTTTGTTTGAGGTTTAATAAGAATTATATTACGAGATGTTAAATACATACATATTGGGTGTAGATGTTTTGTTTGTGATAAATTGCCCCTTGTAAAAAATATACGACGCTACATTATTTACGGCATTACATTTTTGACAACTGATATAAATATCTGGTTTCTTCAAATTGTTCAAATCCCACCTACAGTACTTTAAACCGTAGGTTATTATTTCACAATTTTAGGTATTATTGGCCAAAGTTTAAGTCCCTTCCATAAAAAAAATTTGAATCAAAGATTTTTTCAAGATTTAAAATCGTGTTTTTTCGCAGTAAATTGCTTATAACTTTCTTAATATTTATCAGAGGTTAATTATAAACTCATATTCAAAAAGTACATTAAATTTTTTATAGAAAATGAGTACTCAAAAATTTGTTTCGCTCTGATAAGACGATTTAATTGCAGACTACAATAGAAAAAAAAAAATTCTGTCTGTCTGGGCGTTAACGGGTTAAACATTTTTATTTTTATATCTACCGTAACTTAAAAAAATTTAATATTATAGGGTGCAAGAATACTCGGTGGCGTTACAATTGTTTATATATACACTCGGATCAATAATTAAAAATGCATAACGTCTACTTTTTCAAATAAAAGTCTGACGTAAAACAAACATTTTGAGTCTTTACAAAAGATGATTGATGAATTAATAAACGTCAAGTTACAACCTTTTGAATTTGAGCGAGCTCGCATGCATATTTTTACGTTGTGTAGTAACTGCACTTATTCGACCTCGGCATTAATATTTAATTTAACACATATATAAGTATAACCTATGTGTATTATACTTGTTTTGAGAAATTATACAATGGGTTGAAAAGATTTTGCATGCGACCAACGTTGGTTTGAGGCAAACTCTACGCTTGCACTCGATGGCGAAAAGTACTGGTAGCGCCGGACGTCAGAGTTCCGAAACTTACGTCTGGCGATCCCCGTTCATAATGCGCGAAAGTAATTTTAAAATTTCTTGATATAATTGTGTTGTAAAATGGGCCCTTTTATGTTACACATGTTTTATAAGCATGTTTATTAATGTATACGATAATCGCGAGATATCATTGCACCTTTATACATTATCGTTGTGGTATTTTAAAATTTAGCGTTCTACTAATTACTATACTCTCTGTTTCTTTTTTTGACCACTTGGTTTCTGCATTTAATAATGGAATGATTAGCCGAGACTTTTTTTTCCACGTTTTGTTTGGAAATTTGAGTGGGACGAGGTTTTAGTTGGCCATAGAATTTCTGATAAACTTTACTTTACGCGACCCCGAATCGATCAAACGTGCAATAGTAAAAAAATTTAGATTAATGGAACCCATTTAATATAATTTAAACTCATAAGTGTTTTCTAAATTGCTTAAAAATTATTAAAATCTTTCGTGGGGGGCTGTGCTAGTTAATACATTTCAAAAAAAGTTTTTTTTTTAATTGCATCCTTAGAAAGTAAATATCTTCGAGAATATTGTGTCAAAATTTCAGAGCGATCCGAACCTTATGAGTACCCCTTTTCCCACTTTATGCCTTTACATAATTCATATAATGTATATAAAAAAAAACTACTTCAAACGCGTTTTTCTGGAAATGATGTTTTTCCATACGGTTCCGGTGATTTTTCGAAAACTACTCGGTCGATCTGTCTGAAATTTGAACCACATATTTGTTACTTATGTAGGTATGGTTGGAACTAGAATTACGGCAAAATTCAAATATTTTCCATTTTTTAACAAGAAAAAGCGGAGAAAAAGTTTACGTTGATTTCGGCTTTTCCCAGTTAGAGCTGGCTTATTGTGAGAGTAAATTTCGCGACGGCGATGCGAAGACATCAAGACATCGCCATACAAGATTTTGTGGAATTTCACTATCCAGTCGAACGAGCAGATTGCTATGATTTTCTTTCAATTTTCACCGCATTGAACTATGGGACTGAAAAATGTATAATCAGGTTTTGTGCATGCATGTATAATGCATGCAACAGACATATATATATGCTATTGGAATCTCGCAAAGATCGCACCGATACTGCGTACTGGATTAGTGTAAGCTTGGATAGTTTGCTCGGCATTCCGGCTTTCTTATATATCCGAAGTTTATTAACGTCTGTATGAGTACCGATTTCTTCGTCTCACGCCGCCTAGTGTCAAACTTCGAAGCTACTTAAAACTACTCATGTTGAGTTTACATTCTCTATACGACAAATCATCTGACGGTTATTAGTTAATTAAGCTACGCGGCTCAACGACGTCTCAAAGCTACATGTTATTACTTATAACAACAGCCATAAACACACGCAGATACTCTCACAGATACGCACGTGCACACGGACATACGCAAGAACACGCAATGAATTATCGTCGTCTCGGAGGCCGGCCTCTCGATGGCGAATCGTTCGATGAGCGTCGGGTAAACTCGAATCGAAAAACGAGAGTATGTCCTGCAAAAAAGGTGATCGAGCGCGATCATCGCAGGTCAATAGTAGCCCAAAAAATTTTGAACGACATCTATCATAAATTGCTGAAAAAAAAATCGTGAAAAACATATTTTTTGATGTCGATAAACTAGCGTAGCCTCTTAATTGATAAATCCTTGTCCTTAGTACTAATCTGCCTCTCAATCATATTTTAATTTTCCGATGTTAATTTACCGAGTTTTAAAAAATCAATTATTTCATCTGTGCGGTAAATAATCCACCGCATCTCGTACATGCAATACAGGGGGAAAGTTATTCACTCAAAAAACTATTCTCAAAAGGCTCCTCGATTCTGTGCGCTAAAGATTTCTCTCAAAAACACATCGATTCTGTACATAATGGTGTCACACATGAATGTGATCGATTCAGAAAGAAATTTTCAAGTAACAGTAGTCTTATAAAACTAAGTTTTGGGGGGTCAAAAAATATCTCGAAGGAATCTTCGATAAGTTGGGATTCAAAATTGATTTAAATATCGTTAAGAAAATCTATGACTGATATGGGTAGCTTAATTATAAACAATATAATCATAAACGATTTTGACATTGTTCCTCATAGCACTGATTATGTTTATAGTAAATACAAATTAGTTTGAAGGTTGTCTTTCCCGATGAAGCAACACGAAACAATACATTTAACTCATTAAATTTTTGTGGAAATAAATATAAAAATTTATTGTTTAATTTAGTCATCAAAATGGGTGAAAATAAGAAGAAATTCGAGAAAATTATTCCAAAAGATAACTCAAATGAACTTGACATTTTTGTTTCAGACGACGAAAAATACGTTTGTGATATTTGCCAGGAGGCATTTACACTAGAATCGAGCATGATAACTCACCGAGATAACATTCACAATGAACAAAAAGATTACTCGTGCGACAAGTGTGAAAAGAAATTTGTAAAAAGATCGATTTTGTTTGCGCACCAAAAATTAGTACACAAAGATCATAAAAATTTCACGTGTGACGAGTGCGAAGAGAAATTTGAGTTCCGAAGTCATTTGAGTAGACACCAAATATCAGAACACAAAAGCCGCAACGATTTTCCGTGCGACCAATGCGAGAAAAAATTTGTGAGAAAATCGACTTTGTTTACTCACCAAAAATTAGCACACAAGAATCGCAAGAATTTCACTTGCAACAAGTGCGAGAGAAAATTTGAAAATAAATCCACTTTACTTAAGCACAAAAAAATATTCCACGAAGTTTTAAAAAATTACTTATGTGAAATATGCTCGAAAAAATTTGATACTAAACGTAATTTGCTCTTGCACAT